AGACTGGAGCTGTGCGGCCACAACCTTCTCAAGGACTTTGGCAAGGAACGGGAGGTTGGAGATAGGTCTGTAGTTGGAGAGGAGTTCTCGGTCGTTTTTTTAAAGTGGGGTGACAACTGCTGTTTTGAAATGGACAGGCACCTCACCAGTCTGTAGTGACTTGTTGATGAGTGTTGTGAGGAATTTAACCAGGGTTGGCAAACAGGTTTTTAGCAGTATGGCGGGTGTGGGGTTGAGGGAGCAGCTGGTAGGCTTCGATTTGCCTATGATGGCTAGCAGTGCAGATGACGTCACCTCGTTGAAGCTGCAAAGGGTGATGCCGTTGATGAAGGGAGGGCAGGTGGGTGGGGTCCGAGATACTGTAGATGCTGTAATGGTTGCTCTGATATCTGCGATCCTGGTCTTAAAGAAAGCAGAGAAGTTATTGCAAAGTTTTGGAGAGGCAGCTGGGGGGCCTGTGTTGGTGGGGTTGAGAAGGCGGTTGATGGTGGAGAATAAGGTTCTGGGATTGCTTTTGCCATTGTCTATTATTGACGAGTAGTAGGAAGAGCGGGCGGTTTTTAGAGCAGTAGCATAGGCACTTTAATGTAGGTGGACGGCGAGAGCCTGCTTCCTCCATAGTCTCTCCAGCTGTCGACCGCAGGTTTTCATGCGGCGTAGGTCGTCCGTGAACCAGGGGGAGGACCGTTGGAAAGTGGCTTTCCTCCTTTTTTCCGGGGCCAGGATGTTGAGCGTGGTGGTCATGGTATCATTCTAGAGCTCAATCATGTCGTCGGGGGAAAACAAACGGATATCAGTGGAAAGGTTTGGTGTTATTGAGAAAAAGTGGAGTGTCCAGATTATGGAGGTTTCGGTACTTCATGACTCTCTCAGTCGGGGGTGGCTGGTTGGAAGATGGGATTGTCAGCGTTAGGGAAATAGCCTTATGGTCAGATACTCCAAGATCAGAGATGTTTAGGTCTGATGTAGATATGTTTCCGGTGATGATGAGGTCAAGTGTGTGACCATGATTGTGGGTGGACTCTATATAATAATATAAGAATAATACACGGAGCCTCTCTTTTCCTCCCCCTCTCCTGACAGCCCGTCAGTATTTTCGTTATCGGGAAATGATCGTATTGGGGGGTGTAATCACGTAGCCGTTTGGCCCCCCAGAGCGTTGCATCCGCCGATCTACCCACCTTGGGACCCGTTATCGTTATCTGCGTTTCCCTGTCGGCCTCGTGTGGCCGAACCGTCTATATCAGTGGTCGCCAACCAGTCGATCGCGAGTGTGGTGCGGGTAGATCGCGGACCGTTAAAAAAATTAAAATTAAAATAAAATTAAAATAATAATGTTTGAAAAATAAGTTTTTAGATGTAAACCTATCATCCACCACCCCGTTTGCAGGTGCCACTTGATTGACGTATATTTTAGACACCTCAATAATATAATACATTAACCGTGCTTTACGTGAACCTCATCATGACACAAGAGAGGACGGCAGGACTGCAATTTCCCGTGTTCAGTGAATGCAACAGAGGCATGACACCAGACCAATCAGAGAGTTGCATGGAAATAAACGTGTGCTTGTGTCATTCAAGCTCGGCTCTGTGTGTGTGTGGCAATAGCGCATTTAGTGTGATAGAGGGAGAGGGGGAGGGGGAGGGAGGGACCGGTGCCAGCATGGACCGTGTTGTTAGCATCTGGTTAGCTAGCTGCACTAACGGACATAAGGGGCTGTTTGTTCCACAACAAGCTGGAGGAGAGTCCTCTCCTCTCAGACTGAGAGACTCCGGTGAGCTAAAGGACTCTCTGAGTGTTTAGATATAGTTCACCCCTGCCTATATGCCGTGAGCTGATTATCGAGCCTTCATTGTAACAGTAATTCAGATGCAGCCTATATAAAAGGCCTCAAATTGGAAGCACTGTCTGGGCCGTCTTTTTCACTCAATTCTGCAATAGGTAGATCTCGCCTTTCACCTAGGCCGAGGTCGGTGATCTTGGGCTTAAAAAGGTTGGTGACCACTGGTCTATATGATAGAGAACTGTAGCGGATACGACCGGTTCCGTTCCTGTGTGGCTCCAGCCCAGTCTGTCAGGAGAGGACTCTCCTCCAGCTTGTTGTGGAAACAGCTCCTTATGTCCGTTAGTGCAGCTAGCTAACCAGATGCTAACAACACGGTCCCTGCTGGCACCGGTGCTCTCTCTCTCTCTCTGGTGTCTTGCCTCTGTTGGATTCACTGAACATGGAAAAGTACAATCCTGCCGTCCTCTCTAGTGTCATGATGAGGTTCAGGTAAAGCACGGTTAATGTATTATATTATTGAGGGAGAATTGTCCGGGGCTACAGAAAAAATCATTCGGGGCACTGGTTTTAACCATATTAATACACATTTTGGGAAAGCCATAAACCTCAAGCACTTTATACAGATATGACCATTCAACTCGGTCGAAGGCCTTTTCTGCATCCACTGCCATTAGTGTTAAATCTTTATTATTTGTCTTAGCATATACTGTATTAAAGGTAAGCATGTTCTAGTATTGGTTTTTAAATCTCTATTTTGTATAAATCCAGTTTGATTATGATGGATGATATTAGGTAAGATGTATGCTAGTCTGTTGTTCATGGTTTTGGTAATAATCTTTTTATCACAGTTGATTAAACCAGTGGTTCCCAACCTTTTTCAGTCAGGCCCCCCTTGTGTAATTGGAAATATTTTCGAGCCTCCCCTAACCCGGTTCCCACCGAGATTGGTATAATTATTTGTATATAGTTGTACAAACATTACATTTTCTCTCCTAATAATAACAAGACAAAAAGATGAACATGAACAAAAGTGCTTGTATTGGCAGATGATCCTGTGCCAATGTGAAATAATGAGGCCTAATTGAAACAATTACAAATACTGCTTATCGATCCAATCCAATCCACTTTATTTTTATAGCACATATTAAAAACAGAGGGTTTACCAAAGTGCTTCACAGCAAACATAACATTATACTAAAAGATAATATTACAATAATAGATAAAAGGCACACATAAGAAAAGCTAAAAGGCACACATAAGAATTAATACAAGGTACATAAAGGCTATGGACAGACAATAAAAGCATAAAATTCAATAAAACATAACTCAAACTCACTCGAAAGCGATGGAAAAGAGGTGGGTCTTTAGGCAGGACTTAAAAGTTTGGATCCGGTTCTTTAACAGTATTTTTATAGGTTATTTTTGTTCTTTATTAAGGGAAAAACTAAACAAATTGCCATGGCAACGGCAATTGAAGAAATCTCAAAACTGTCCCGTAGATGTCTTCACGGCTGGACTGTTAACACACATGTGAAGTTTGAGCACTTTTTGAACATTTTCATAGGAGTTATAGCGACATCGTCTTTTATGGCGAGGGATGCGTTTCCATGGAAACGGCATATGATAACACCCCGTTAGCATTGAACGGAAGAAGAAGAAGAGGTGCAAAATAACCCGGCGGAATAATAAAGAATGTTGTGCATCGAAGAACAGATAGCTGGAATGCTGTATCAGCATTCCCACTAAATAATAAGAATTGTGTAGCAGAGTTTCCGTTAGCAGGTAATTACCGGACTATTACCGGATATGCTGATGTTTAAAACTCAGTTAATGGGGCTCATTTTTATATTGCTTCAGTTTATAATCGTAACAGATCGAAAAGTTCAGATTCATTTTTCAATAAATGATTCCACAAACAACAAACTACTTGTAGTAGATGAAGTACATTATTCAAAAGTTTACATTAACTTTGGAAAATAACACGGGAGAAACGGATCCTCTCTTTTCCTCTCTCCTGATAGCCCGTCAGTTTCTCATGCAGCTCGCTAAACAGTGGGCGGGGCTTCAGGTGATCAGAGCTGCGTGTCTCCGTCAGACTCCGCAGCTGATCTGATCTCTCTCTCGTGTCCGGTTATACTTCACTCGCGTTTATGTCCATATCGATCAGATCCAGCTCTCCTGATCGGCCCTTATAGAGAGCACCGATCAAACTATTAAGAGTGAATATCGGCCGATAATGACCGGCGGCCAATCGATCGGAGCATCCCTAATTATTAGCGGACATTTTGACCGGCAGGTTTTGAATTTACCGGTTTTTAATCAATTTTACCAGCTAAAAACCGGTAATTGCCGGCTAACGGAAACCCTGCTGCCTACTTAATTCCTGGGATCTGTTAGTTGCGTTTTTCTCAGTTCTGCCACTTTGCTATGGTCCAATAAACAAACAATCAATAGGAAAACAAACCATAAAGCACAGGGTTAGTGGGACAAACATAAAGATTTCTAATGTAAAGGGGATGGCGTCACTTGAAATGTGTTGCAGTGTCTTTTTGACAGGTTTCAGCCATTTTTTATAACAAATTAGTTTAAATATGGAACCAGTTGGTGATATGTAATGCCGCTCCCTTTGTCTTTGGATCATGTGGTTTGGTATTAAACATTACACCTCTTTAGATTATATGAAAGGATGTATTCACTTTGTATCAATAAGATTGGATCATCCATCATTTAATCAATATATACATTCAGATATATTGTGATGGCCATAATAAACAAATAGTATTGTCAAACTATTCAAGTCCAACTCGCAACTGAATCAAAAGCATTGAATGTAAAGTCTACAAAGAATAAAGACATTACTGTGCCTGGAAGTGATGGAAAAGCTTGACACAGTAATCAGTCACATCGGAGGTTATGTGTTGTTTATTTGAAATGTAAATTGTAGTTTCCTGCATCCAAAAGCAGCTCTGACAATGAACTACTTTACTTTGGAAAACAAACAGCCGCAACAGCCGAAGCAAGAATGAAACCACAGAGGGCTGAGTGTTGAAATGGTTGGCAGTTCCTGGAAGCCTTGCTGCATTAGCGAGTTTCTATCATTAGACTAATCAGTAAAAAAAAAGACAATTTGGTCAATCAATTGCCCGTCCCTCTTTCTGTAGAGATATTATCTCTACAGAAACCTTTCCAGAAAACACAGAGAGGACAGGGATGCTCATTTACGTTGCTGACCTCTCCCAGTCAGGATGTTTGCAGGATTCCTCTTTCTGCTCCTCCTCACAGGTAAGCTGGAACAATTCTATATGTTGCATGCAGGTGGGACGTTTCTGTTGCCACTGCTATATAATTGAGGGGAATGAAAGTGTGTTGGTGATACAGCATAACAAAAAGGAAACAAAGGATGATACTACAAGCAACATTTATTTACAAAAAACACACGTTTCCAATTCTTTCATAATTTTCCAGCGTAGTATGTGGAATATTCAGAGTAGCAGGTATGTCCCTGGGAAGAGACGTTGCTTTTGTTAAAAATGACCATTTGTGTGCATGAACATAACATTAAATGGAGAGCTCTATTATCTTTTCTGTCAGGTGGAAGTTCCTGACAGTTACACAACACTTTAACCTGCTTCAATTGAATCACTTTGTAAGCTGTATACTTTTATCTGTCAGGTGGAAGTACCAACAATAACTCAAAGGACGACAATAACAACGGTGTGTAAAGGAAAAATCACAACAAATTACAGTAATTATGTGTCGTTCTATTTTTATTATACGTATAGAAGTCTTGAAAAGTAAGACACTTGTCTGTTTACTGCATTGTATAATTCAAAGCAGTCATTTGTGGAATTAAACTGATAGATATGTTAATGGTGTGAACAGCAAACAGAACAATATTATAAAGAAACTAAACTTGGTGTGTTGAGAATGCATGATGTCTGACGTAACCATTATTTTACAGTGAAGTGAGCTCCACAATCCCATTCACCTTCTTTGATGGGTAAAACATTTAGGAGATGGTTATCTCAAAATCATTTAAAACAAAAAACGTCTGCAGATGCAATTAAAAATGTTTTGTGGGAAAGCGGTTTGTGTGTGTGCATTGAAATACTATTGAATGAAGAGCTGTATACTCTTTTCTGTTAGATGGAAGTTCCTGGAATACCACAGAGCTACCAGAGCTTCATAGATTTTATATATCTGTGATAAATTGTGTGTGTGAATTAGATTTATTTATATGTTTGAAATCTCACATTTTAGGTTAAACGATGAGAATGAAAATATTTTATAATTGTGTTCTTAGCTTTTGCTAACAGATGCACAACACTTTAACCTGCTTCAGTTTAATCACTTTAAGAGCTGTATACTTTTTCCTGTCAGGTGGAGAAACAATCAATAACTTGGAACAACGAGGGCCTCCGCCTCCTGGCCCTCCCTCCATGGAGAGAGGACCATGTGATGGTGACCCTGACAGTAAGTACACAGTACTTATGTGTTATTCTATTTCTACTTTATGAATAGAACTCTTTAAAAATGAATACACTTGTCTGTTGTCAGCACTGGATAAGTTTAACGCAGTTTTTGTCACAAGGTAATAAAACTGATTGTAACGGGCCGTCTCCACGGCAGCGTTAAAAAAATCTTGGAGGTGGGCGTATCTGAAGCTTGGGGATTTTTTTGCGATCAACCAATCACATGAATCTCCCGCCCGCGACATACGAAGCCAAAAAGCCCGAAGTAAACTGGATATAAACTCCCCAAAACAGGCGAAAACATACCACTGTCTCTGCCACCTCCCTCCATGCCTGGCTCCTCCGGTTTATATCCCGGTAGGTCTGGTCATAAAGCACCGGGTGATTGATTCGCTACCGCTAATTTCTCCTCCATTTTTTGGAATATGAGGAAATGATCTGCGGTATGTCTCTCCCAGCATACACGCCGTTTGATTGGCTAGAGCTTGAACTGTCAGATTTGCGTACACGGGATTTGATTGGCTGACGCTTCCTCCTCAGCTTCAAAAGTTGAACATTGTTCAACTTTGGATCTTGAAAATCCTGAGAATCTCCGCTCGCCTGCCCACAATGCATTTCGGCGAAAGCGAAAAAAAGTGACGTCACCCCATTCAAAGTGAATGGGCAGAAGCGTTTCAAGATTTTTTAACGCTGCCGTGGAGACGGCCCGTTACTGGTGTGAATAGCAAACAGAACAATTATATAAAGAAACTAAACTTGGTTTGTTGAATGCATGAGGTCTGACGTTGAAGCATTTTGACAATGTGGAGCAGATGGACCTCAAATGGAGAGCCCAATTTAAATGTTAAAAAATAATGCTCACATTTCAAAGTTATTAGTGGACTGATGACACACATCCATGCTGTCCTGCCGACACCCATCATTCCTGCCGATGGGTGGAACCCATTGGGTGGAATGATGGGTTCCACCCACTGTTGTAATATCCAGTGGTTGTGTTGTAATAGACCACAACCACTGGATATTACAACAGATATGTCAATAAGACAAGACTTATTTCTAAGTGGCACATGTTTTAGCCAACAAGAAGGATGATTAATGTGGATAAGACAACATCGGGATCCCAGATATTTTAAGGGGCTGGGGAAGCCGTAAGTAGAGTACTGACCCACCTGTGGAGTCTAAACCCTGGTGATGATGAGATGAGGAAGATGCTGAAGCTCTGTGTGTGATGAGGAGTGGTCTTCTGATGAGCTCAATGTGGGCATCAGGTATGTTGACTAAACATAAATAGGGTGTGGTAAATAGGCTAAATTGACTCTCTGATAGAGATATTGTTTTGATGTCCTCCCAATAGAATCTAGGTTCACCTATCGAGATGTTTTAGAATGCCTGAACCTGCACAAAAGCAAGGAGCTGTGCACAACGGTCCGACCTGCCAAAAACTACAAAGAAGAAACATGGGTCTATGTCAGACTGTCAATTCTGTCAATTCTAGATGTGGTAAGTGCAACTTTGATTTTTTTTTTTCTTTTGAGGATAATCCTTATTTTTTGCTGTGGAAAGCAGCCAAAAACAACAAAAACCAAGATAAGACAGTTGAACCGTACAAACACACGGTAATACACATGAAAGCCAAAAAAGCAATCAGTAAAGTCAAATCAAAATATAGGATAAGTTAGTTTAATAAGAACAAAAGACTCTCAAAAAACATCTCAGCATACATTTCAATATAGCATGCAATTCTTCCTAACTGATAATAATAATAATCATAATAATTAAAACTGCGGTCACAGACGTGCACGCAGTTGTGGGAGGGTCGCCGGTCGTCCCGGCGTCAAGCAGACACGCGCGAGTCCTCCGAAATGAGCCATTTGTAATTTCTCAAATGTTCACGTCCTGGACTCCTCGGTCCTCCGGCAGCGACCCGGAAACGGATGTGGGTGCGCCGCCTCGAAGGAAATCACTGATGTATCCTTCTGAGTCGATTTCAGGCCACAGAGACCGGGTGTAAATGAAATTAAACTTTGTTCACAACAGGCTATAGTGGTGAGATAGTAGGATGTAAACAGGTATAAGTCTAAGTGTAATTAAAATACATTCAACTGTAAAGATAAGCATTAACAGTTAATAAACACATATCAACAGTAGAAAATATAATATTTTCACTGAAAAGAGTAAAGACCAATAGAAAGAGGTGCAGTACACAATTAATAGCATGAAAATTAATCAGTGTACCAAAAACTAATATTGTCATCTCACTCCAAGCTGAACTCCAAAGTGGTCAGCCCTGGACTATATGTATGTGTGGTCTAATGCAGAGAAATACAACATTACAAGTATGATGAGAATCAGTGACTTACATATATTATACAGCAAACAATAAGCATAACTTTCTCTTCAATGGAACATATGGAACATCACATCTGTGAAGTTCTTTTTTCAAAATACCAAACAGATCATGCATTTTAGCCATGCCTCATTTCGCTCTATTTGCTCTTTTCCAGCCCTGTTTATGCAAGGGCTGATTCTGTGACGTAGCTTTAATGCAAATGAGCTGCAGCTGACCACGCCCCCCTGCAGGAGAGGGGAGCATGCTCAAAGATCAGCTGCTAGGCTCTCAGAAGAGGGGGAGAAAAAGAGATCTCCGTCCTCCGTGTATTATTCTTATATTATTATATAGAGTCATTATTAATTTGTTTTAAAGCTCAATAAATAACAAAGAAGACCTCTGACCGGCACTTTTCAAATTTTGTCCGGAAGATTTAAACTTTAACGGACATGTTGACCGGTGGAAAAAAATCTAACTGAAACTCTGCCGCACGGTCCCCTCGTCCCTTGGAAGAGGCGGAGAGGTGGGTGTTTTTCATCTGCTGGTGGCAAACCGGAGAGATATACAGCAGGAGCAAACGCTTGCCTCGGGGAGGGAGAAAAAGAGCCAGAGCGTCCACAGCGGAGAATAAACAGAAGGGCAACCATGGCAACCATGGCAACCATGCGCGGGAAGTCTTCTTCGCTGCTTTTGTGGCAGACTACAGCGCCACTTACAGGCCTGGCATATGTACTACAGCGTCTCCAGCGCTTTCGAGCGGTCTCTCATTCCCCTGATAGGTGGAGAGAGTTGCCCATATAGAGTGGCGAAGTCCCTCCCACTTACTTCCGGGGTATGGGACCTTATTTCGGAAAAATTATGCATTGAAGTCAATGGGGAGAGAAAACTTATCTTTCGATCCCGTTTGAATTGTGCCATGAATTACACATATGATGTTGGTCAATCTTAAAAAATCATTTCCATGTCAAAAAAGTCACAGTTTGTCTTAAAACTGTTGAAATATAAGACTTTGAAAAATACGAAACTAGAAAGACTACAAATCCCAGAGTCGCGTAAGTGATGTCACAATTGAGACACTACGATACACGTATAATACCGTATATATACGATCAGCGCCATATAGATAGAATCTATCTATATGGCGCTGGCTAAGATAAGATAACTTTGTGCCTGTGTGCTTAGTACCAGGTTGTTATTATACCAGCAATGGGTCTTGCTCGTTCTTTCGCTTCCCGTCTGATGAAAGAGGAGTGTGTGGATCAAGTTAGCTACCTAGCTAGTAGCTAGCACGTTAGTTAGCATTACAGCCTTGTCATTTTTATTAGCCTTAACATGAAGTAACATTAAGTAACCCAAAATGTTAAACAGTAAGAGTAGTAGTCATATTTCGTGAACCCTTTGAATAGTACTGTCACCGGTGTGATCATTCTATAATACACAATTTAAGCCCGGGGGAGAAATGCTAACGCTAACGCTAGCGATCTTCTCTACTTCATGCTATCTGCACAAATGGTTGACATTAAACATTAAAACGACCAGGCAGTTCAGAGAGAATCAAAGAAAGGAAAGCAGGCAGCTTTGCATGACATTCTTCAGGACGTGTTTCATTGTGGTGATAGTGAGGGTAGTCTCTTGTGTTGACAAGACAGTAGTGACGGCCATCTTGGTGACGTGTGTTGTTGACCAGAGATCAGATGTAGTTCTTTGAGCGTTTCACACAAACAAATGTGTTACTTCACAGTTTTACGACACATTTTTTTTTTTTTGACTTGCAAAATTATCTTTTAAATTGACAAACATCATATGTGTAATTCGTGGCACAATTCAAACGGGATCGAAAGATAATCTTTCTCTCTCCATTGACTTCAATACATCATTTTTCCGAAATAAGGTCCCATGGAGGTCCACCGGAAGGGGAGGGACTTCGCCACTCTATAGGCGGAGCGCCCCTTTTCTGACGTCAGAAAAATTCAAATCTGTATCAAATCCGTTGCAGCCCCGTTTTTAGAGATTTGGGTATGGAGGAAAAAAGAGAGGGTTGTGTTTTCTGACACTTGGTGAGTTCCCTGACACACCGGGGACACATATTCATGTATAAAAGACGTACAAAAGTGCATTTTGCATGATAGGTCCCCTTTAAAGAAAAGATCAAAGTAGGCGGAGCTTAGGGATACGAGAGGATAATATATAGAGCAGCTCCACCCGGATAAGTGTGCAAAATGTCAGGTCCATCAGACTTACGCTGCGACTATGTACATTTTTCGAAAACTGAACTTTCACAGGTGGCGCTAGCGAGCATGTTGGACATTTTGAACCCATCGACTCCAGAATGTAAATTTTTTCACCCGTCCTGCTGGCGTTGCCAAATGTCGCTACATGAATGGCGTCGTAAAGCCCTCAAAAACAGGTCTAATGTGCAGAACGAGGAAAATCATAATAATAATTCTATGCATTACAATAGTGAGTAAGTAAGTAAAGTTTATTTATAAAGCGCTTTTCACAGACAAAGTCACAAAGTGCTTGACAAAACAATAAGACATCCACATAGGAGGCGTACAATGATCAATGAACCCACATGTTAAGAAGTCATAAAAGCACCAGAGCATGCTTAAGACACAATAAAAACACAATAAAACAAAACTTACAAATGAAATTTAAAACAAACAATATAAAAACATAGTATTAAATGGAATAAGATCAAGCACACTGGTTACCCAAACGCCTGACCAAACAGGAATGTCTTTAAAATAGTTTTAAAAGAGACAACAGACTCCGCAGACCGTAGATGAGCAGGCAGAGCATTCCATAATTTAGTTGACACTGCTGCGAACGCTCGATCACCGCGGGTCTTAAGGTGGGTACGTGGGACAGACAGTACATTTTGCCTGTGAGACCTGAGTGGGCGGGCTGATGTATAAGGGTGAATTAAGTCGGCCACATAAGCAGGAGTCTGACCGTGCAAGACAATAGGTCTTCGCACACTTTGTGCTCAGGCCCTAATAAATGAGGGGCCTTGCTAAACAGGTGGGACTCAGATTTTGTTTTGTTTTGAGGATAATCATTATTTTTTGCTGTGGAAAGCAGCCAAAAACAACAAAAACCAAGATAAAACAGTTGAACCGTACAAACACACGGTAATACACATGAAAGCCAAAAAAGCAATCAGTAAAGTCAAATCAAAATATAGGATAAATTAGTTTAATAAGAACAAAAGACTCTCTCAAAAAACAGCTCAGCATACATTTCAATATACAGTAGCATGCAATTCTTCCTAACATAATAATAATAATAACTTACATTTATATAGCGCCCTTTTAAAGGCGTCAAGAGACGGGCTGTTGCGGATCACTGCAGGGAGAGCGTCATAGTACGATTTGTACCAGATCAGCACTGGCACATAGTGCCTCTAGGAAACAGCCATATACTAGCACTATTGAAGGAAGCATATACAAGTCAGAAGAGTGCGACAAAGTGTCAACAAAAATAATACCTTTAATCAATTTCTCCCCCAATGTTACCTTGAATTTTAGAAGAAACATCGTTGGGGCTTTGCTTAGTGTGATCCCGTTAATGCAGCAAAATCACAAAGTGGGTTTACAAAGGAGCTTTTACTTCTTTTCCACGTACTGAAGGTAGTCAGCATGTTAACTTCAAAGTGCAATGTTTTATGACAGTTTGGCCTGTAAGGTCAGCTACCTTAGTGTGGTCAAAATGTTCACACCATTCCTTCGGTTACAGAGAGAGAATGACCAGACTTTCGTTTCTTTCGTTGGGATTTATATGGTGAGTTTGTTTTGAGAACCAATTTGTGATTTTCCTATACTGTTTATTCTACTGTAGGTTGAAATCAGTTGCTGTAGATTGCATCTTAAAGGTCTTTATTTATCTTTGTTTTCTTCCCTTCTTCCTTGTTTTCCTGTGTAGAAATGGGAAGATCCGGATATTTATTGGAAACCACACAACTTTGGTGGCCTTAGGACGATCAGAGTTTCTGCTGATTTGTTGTGGAAGCCAGATCTAATGATTAAAGAGATGTAAGTTGGAATTTTTTGTGCTTACTCACAAATCCACACACTCACAACAGTAAATGGTGATGGAGCCTGTTATTATTAAGAAGGACATGTACAATAAATCATATGGATGTAAAAAGATGATGCAACAAGGTTTAAACATATTGTACAATTATATTTGTACACCTATGTATTGTGTGGAAAACAGCTGTGGTTAGAATGCAATGAACAATGAAGCAGATACCCCTTAACTGACTTGAGCCGGGTTAATCATATTTAAGATATAGAGATGTGTGATATTGTTATACTGTGTGGATAGTATTTCTATATTTAAAGTAATGAGGGAACATCTTAGGAAAATACAGACTTAAACAATAGTATAATAATTTAGATAAATGTTTCATTCTATTAAAATATTACACAATGTGAAAATCAGTTTGAAGCATAAAGTGTTTGCTATAATTTGTACAAATGTATGTTTGTTGTCATACAGGATCGAGAAGGACAAAGCTGTTCCCACTCCCTTTGTCACCATTAACTCGAACGGTTTCGTTGAACATGTGAGGGACTTTATGGTGGTCAGCACGTGCAAGATGCAAATTTACAAATTTCCTTTTGATGTTCAGAGCTGCAACTTGTCTCTCAAGTCTATCGTTTACCCAGGTGAGCTTTCAGAAGTTTCTAGACATTTATCTCAAATATGTAAGTTGTGTGTTTGATTGCACGTTTGTGGTAATTATCTCTTTAAAGTCTAATTGTCACATGAGCACACACCAGCACATGCATTTATCCTGTGTTGACCTGATAAGACATCTCAAACTTGTATCTTCACTTTCACCTTAGAGGAGGAGTTGAAGTTTGAAGCCTTAGAAAACAATACAGTGATAACGGAATGGACTCGCCAAATGATGAGTACGGAGTCTGAGTGGCTGTTCATCGGCATTACAGTCCAGAGCCGATCTGTCCGACATTTTCATCAAAACCAAAGCGTTATAAGTTATACTGTAAGTGTGTTGTACATTTTACTTTTATTTATTTCTGCAAACATTTGCATGGAAATGTCTGCAGCTCCACTTGCTGGTTTTATTTAGCTTGCATTCTAAACAGCAGAATAAAAAAGAGCAAACCCATTGACATTGTTGTTCATTGGATACATTGTAATCACACATTTTTGATGGTGGCCACTTAATCATCCTTAACCACTGTGATAAAATATAAAATATAAATAAATGATATAAACAGGAAACTTCATATTTCAGTGGAGCAATATCTTTCATATTGCATGCAAAATAACTTAAACCCATAATCAATAATGTTTTTGATCATTGCAGCGTTAGTGAACAGATTCACTGTTTTTCCATCTTTGATCACAGATCAAGATGAAGAGGTGTTCTGCCCTCTACATCTTCAACTTCTTAGTGCCCATCATGTTCTTCTTCTGTCTGGACTTGGCCTCCTTCCTGATGTCAGACAGTGGGGGCGAGAAGGTCAGCTTCAAGGTCACTGTGCTGCTCGCTGTCACTGTGATGCAGCTTATTCTCAACGACATTCTGCCTTCCTCTTCAGACAGGATACCGCTTATAGGTAAAGCAGCTCAGTCATTATTTTATTGGACTTTCATTTAATTCAAGCAGGAACAACAATGGCTTATCTTTCGTCCACTTTAATGATGATGCCTTTTCTCTTCAGCGGTGTACTGCATTGGGATTTTTGTTTTGATAATGATCAACCTTCTGGAGACAATTTTGGTGATATATCTGATTGAGAAAGACAAACAGGGCAACTATGATGGAGGTGAGACTGAACACATTCTTTAAACCTCTTAAGCCCTGAGCCTGTTTTTCAGGTCTCAGGCTCGAAAATGACATTCCCAGAACAAATGACCATATCTTCCCTTCTAAAAGGGTTAAATTAATAATCTTTATTCTCAAAGTAATGATAAACCTGTGAGTTGGATGTAGAAAAGTCAGAATCAATATAGATGTTTTTTATTTTAAAGACATTTCAGATTTTACATAGTAAAAAACTGTAAATTATAGTGTCCGTCCAAAAATTCTTTTTTACAGATAGTGAAAACTACCCTTGGATGATGGGTTAGTAGACTAAAAGCTTTAGGAATCCAAAGTACAACATATAATAAGTACCCTGTATCAAGATTGATGCAAAACAAGTGAAATTTGACATTTTTAGAGAGATTTAGCCAAAAGACCCCACTTCTGGGGTCATTTGGGTGGATTTGACCTATCTCTGGCCCCCCTTGCTCGATTTTGATGAATGAAATCTCTTTATAACCGCTAGAGCCAATGGAATCGAGGGAAAGTTATATACACACCAACACGTTAACAAATAAGGAGTGAGAGTGACGCGTTACCAAAACCGGAAGCTGCATACACTCTGGTGGCTACCATTAGCAGCTAACTTTTCCGCTCCGATTTTTACATAAAAAATGGAATTATGGATTATAAATAATTTTTTAAAAGGCACAGGTACATTATCAACCTATGGATCAACAGTTGTAGATTTTTTTTTCTTCGTTTTAATGCCATTGAACACGTCTTTTGACCTAATTGACAGCTACGGTGAGACGATCTGCCGTAAAAGCTCCGTAAAGGTACGTGTTGTGATGTCTGTGTTTGCTTCCCCTGTCGCAAGTTCGGATCGCTCAGTGATGATACTATACCTAAATAATCCGTGGAGTCTCAGCTTTAATCGGCTATATTGTATGTGCAGCTACGATAAGTAATAAGGGTATCTTTATCTTGAATTGTGTGCCGCAGTGCGTTAGAATTTTTTCGCTCAGGGGTCATTTAGACCCTTCTTATGAGACTTGTGTTTTGTTTTGGTAAAAATGGTTCATATCTTCAGTTAGCTGAGATTCTTCCCGTTAATCTGGTGCTACACATTAATAGTTTCATAAATGTTAAGAAGCCCTGAGACATTATCTCGAAAACGAAACGGTGGGAGGGGTCCAATGGGGGGACCGCCGTGCTTAAGAGGTTAAACCTGTGGATTTTAACTATTGTTATATTGTATTTACTCATATGTTTGGAATACACAAAGAAACATCTACAATTAATAATACATTATTTTGAACATGCTGCTGTCCTGTGTCAACAATTTCCTTTCAGATGTGAAGAAATGGACTCACTGTGCTTGTGCGTGTAATGTGTCTGATGAACCGCCATCTGAACTGCTGTCTGTGGCCAAAGAGGTGAGAGTTGGGTTTCTCTGTAAAGGGAATGTTTGCCTACATTTTAAAAACAAAGCGAACTAAAATTAGGGAAGTATAAAAGCAGTTCAGGGCAAAATTTAATAAGTTTCAGAGATTTTGTTCTGGAAAGAGATACAGTTGATTTATTTGAGATTAAACATTTTAATTCTTTAAGCACTATGGACATTGTAAGTGAATATGTTTGTCTGATGAACTAACACTTTATTCTCACCACAATGGACACAAATAGGAATAGTAAAAGTGAAACGGTTTTCAATTTGATATGGTCTATAAACTTGTTAATGATCACTCCACTAAAAAACTTCTGCAGGACAAAAGAAGCCAACTGATGGAGGAGTCCAATTCCTTGGAGAAGCTCCCAGATGAGCTGAGTGAGGCGGTGAAAGCACTCTCTCTGCTCCTCAGCAGGAAGGAAGAAAGGAAGCCCGACTACTGGACCAGACTGGCTAGAAAATTGGACAACATTTTCTTTGTTGTCTATGTCACAGTCTCCGCTCTGTTTTTGGTTGTCATCTATTCAGTATGGATCAATGCAAACAACTAGGAGTTGTAAACAACTAGGGGTAAATGAGTGGCGGTCCATTTTAAGAACTTTTTTTTCCTTAACCCCTATAAACATCTGCTTTAACTTAACCAATTTGTATCTCAGCAAGTTTGTCGCTATAGAGAAAATTAGCAAGTAGATTAGGTGTGTCACTTAATCAAAAGCCATCCAATGTTAAATAGGTTTATGCCAACCTGATATATTCCCAGGTAAACCATCCTCAACACCGCAATTATAATAAACTGCAAGCCCAACTCAGGGCTCAGCGCCGCCATGTTGATGCACACTGAGCCAGCATAGAGTTTTATTTGTCTTAACCAAAGTTTAAGAACTCATGATTGTTTTATATAGGCCATAGAGTTCACAATGACTTGTTCTGGTATATATGGACCCTTAGGGAGAAATCATTAAACATCATTCATTTCTAAAGAATTACAACAAGTCCTGCTTCGCACATAACGGTAGGGCTGTGCAATTAATCGTATTTTAATCGCGATTACGATTATGGCTTGCGACGATTATGAAAACAGCATAATTGACAAAATACGATTATTTTGCTGGGTGCGCTTTCGCCCCTCCCTAAAAGCCCACTCGGCCACGTGGGAGTGACATGTGTGAGTGTTCAGCGCGAGCGAAGATGTCAGAACAAGAGCAGCAACTCGTTAAAAAGAAGGGTAACACTATTTCCACTATTTGGAAGTACTTTGGCTTTCAGGAGTCCGACGTGGAGCAAAACAAAGTACAGTGCAGGATTTGTTACCAGGTTGTGTTGGCACCACACGCTAACACAACCAATCTCTTTAATCATCTGAAATACAACCACAAAGTGCAATACGACGGGGCAATAATACAACAAAAAGCAGACCAAAAAGATGCCCGCTCGACTTCATCCACAACATCATCACAGTCATCGATTCAGGACGCATTGCACAGAGCAACGGCCTACGCGACGAGCTCGCAGAGACACAGAGATATTACAGGTGCCATTACATTTCACATCGCTAAAGATATGTGCCCAGTTAGCACTGTTAGCAACCAGGGCTTTAAGCAACTTGTCAACACGTTGGACAAGCGTTACGAGATGCCGTCTCGGTATTATTTCAGCAGGTCTGCGCTGCCTGCGCTATATGACAAATGCCGTGGGGAAGTTGAGAGAGATGTGGCTTCAGCTGACTACTTTGCCACCACAACGGACCTATGGTCTAGCCGCACCATGGAGCCATACATGAGCCTCACAGTTCATTATATCGATGCCGATTTCAATTTGAAGACAAAGTGTCTCCAAACCGCATTTTTCCCTGAAGACCACACGGGGCAAAACATCGCCCATGGACTGAGGGAAGCGATGGCTGCTTGGGGGTTAAAAGAGGATAAACTCGTCTGTATGACTACGGACAATGCCGCAAATATAAAGCTGGCGGCTGAGGTCAATGGATGGATGAGGCTCCAGTGTTTCGGGCATAGACTCCACTTGGCCATAGGTGAGCAGGATTCCTTCCTCCTGTTGTATGTAATATGTCATTTTAACAACAGCAACAACAATAATAGCAATAGTAAGTCATTAACATTGATGATCTCTCTCTTAATATGATAATATTAATTACATATTATTATTATTATTATTATTATGTTATGTGTGAGCTACTCTGTCATCTCTCTCTTTTTTTTCTCTCTCTCTTTCCCTCTCTCTCTCTCTCTCTCTCTCTCTCTCACACACACAACACACCAAATTATGCTTTGATGAAGATCATGATTATCATCATGATACTAAATAATATGTATTTGTTGTAATCTTAGAGAATGCAATGAAGGATCCCAGGATCGGCCGTGCAGTGGGGCTTTGCAAGAAGCTGGTCAGCAGCTTCTCCTACAGTTGGAAAAAGAAGAGGGAACTTGCATCTGCCTGAACACTCCCTAAAGACAGAATGTCCAACCAGATGGGGATCTAGGCAGGCCATGATCGACAGGGTCCTCGAGCAGCAGAAGGCCATTGCCCAGGTCCTTTCCAGCGACCGAAAAACCAGACATCTCTCCCTCACGTGGCAGGACGTTGATGTACTGGAGGCAATCAATAAGTCGCTTAGCCCTCTGGTGGAATTCACAGACGCACTTTCTGGAGAGAAGTATGTAAGTGTGTCTTTTTTTAAACCAACCCTGCACCTCTTCAACAACTCATTGCTGGCAGTGCAGGAGGATGACACAGACCTCACAAAAAGCATAAAAAAGAAGATACTAGACTATCTCAATGATAAATATGATGACGCAGCGACACAAGAGCTGCTTGACATGGCCTCTGCCCTGGACCCGAGATTCAAGCTCAAATATGTCAGTGAGGACAATCGAGGATCCATTGAAGCCAGCCTGACAACTGAGATGAGGAGGGTGATGACACTCATGGTAATAATAATAATAAAAAATAAAAATGTCAGATTTGACAGTAAATACAATTAAGTGAATGAATGTGTTGTCAAAGTGTTATAATGTAATTCTAGGTATAAATGTTAATACCCATAACCATTTAGTCTGATTAAACATGTCATTCTTATTTTCTTTATAATACTCCAAGGAGAACGCCCCTCTTGAGACGGCAGCGGTGCCTGCAGGTGACACGGAGGATGCTGCTGCAGCTGCACCAAAGAAGAAAAAGAAGGGACTGGGGAGCTTCTTCAAGGCCACCGTAGACCAAGCTGCAGAACCTCAACCTGCTCTGGAAAAGGACAAGGCCATAGCTCTTGAGCTACAGTCCTACCTCCAGGCAGTGCCACTGGATGCTGAGGAGGACCCACTAAAGTGGTGGAGGGAATCCCGGAAGTTCTACCCACGGCTCTCCATCCTGGCAAGGAAGTATCTGTGCATCCCAGCCACAAGTTCCTCTTCAGAGAGGGTCTTCAGTACAGGTGGCAATATTGTCACCTGCCTGCGCTCGTCTCTGAAACCAGACCATGTAAACAGGCTGGTTTTTCTTGCAAAAAATCTTTAAGAGATGACATGAGCAGCCCTACCAGCATTTGCCATGGTGGCCATGTTGGCTATATGTTAAGGAGTTGTCAGTAGGTTGTGACAGTGCACTGCAACATATTTGATTTAATTTATTTTTGTCTAATTTATTTTTATTTATCATATTAATATATGTTTAGTATGGTTTTGGAAGTGCGCTCCATTATGTGTTGACCTTGTTTATTGGTAAAATATTATTTGTTTTAAAGTTTAATAAATGGTCAATGAATAATCGTCAAAATAATCGTGATATCAATTATTGACCCAAATAATCGTGATTATGATTTTTGCCATAATCGCACAGCCCTACATAACGGGTGCATTATAAATGTTAAAGGTCCCCTATTATACTGTTTTTCATCAATATATTATAGGTCTCAGATATATACAGAGCCTGTCTCTGATTGGCTGAAACACCAACAGATCATTGCAGCATCCCATAATCCCCTCTGTTTCAGCCCTGTTTCCAAAGTGCTGATTCTCTGTCTGTTACTTTAGATGAAAATAAGGAGCCCCTCCCCACGCCCCTCTGAGAGACATTTGGTTAAAAAGAACACAATGGTGCTCTAGGAGGAGATTCAGGTGATAAGGGGGGGGGGGGGGGGGGGTACCTTGGTTGGTGATTGGCTATTGGTTACACAAGACAACACATCGTTATGACATCATAAAGTGGCCAAAATCTGATCGGCTCATTTTCAGACAGGTTTTTATATCTTTTTTCCTGAAACTTTCAGAATCTCTTTCCACAGAGGGGACACATGTTGATGTAGAAGATACCGTTAGGTGACCTTTAACTAAAGACATGTGCTTCAACGTTCATACTTTACCGATCAATCCAACAGCCATGGTGTAAGTGTACAGAGCTGTATTGTAAAGTTCTACCAAATGTTCATATAAATCATGAAATACATTTAGAACTGTAAAATGTAGCTTCTTATATATTCATATATTTATGATATGTAGAAATGAAATCAAGTCCATTATACTAAGCATGTATAATATATTTTAACTGTTCATTATCTGACCTCTATAATGTGTTTTTTCTTCTCCTTCTTTAGTCATTTCATGTTGGCTTTTTGTGTTATCCACATTAATATGTGCATTAAAGCTATATTATGTATTCACATCATGCAATTAAAGTCCTGTCATTGGGTTCTAGAACATGTAAGACTTCAATACTACTCAAATAAAAAATAAAAATTCAAACTTTGTTCGCCTGTGTTCACCCTGATTTTAAGAAAGTCAAAATCTTTCAACTTTTAAACCCTCCCTTTTGTGGTGTTGTTGGGTATGCTTTGTCCCCTGGAATTAAAGGTCACCTATCATGCTATTTTTAGGAAATAGCATACCCAGCTAGACATTTTTGGTTTAACAATATTCTGAGAATTACCATTCATTGTTCTAGGAATGTTTTCAGCGGGAAGTTTTCTTTTGGTTCCCAGAATGTTCTTCTGAAAGGTAGGATAATTCTTAAAATGTTTGGCGATAACCTTCTTAAGATGTTTTTGATAACATTGTTAGAACATTATGCCCTACTATTCTTAAAACGTTTTCAGCTGGACGTTTTATTTTGGTTCCCAGAATGTTCTTCTGAAAGGTATCAGCTTATCATGAATTACGTGCTTGTTTGTTTTTTTCAAAAGGAAAATATGGTGGCATCAGATTTTTTTTAAAACATCCTTTTCAAACAAATGCAACAAGTTTGTTTTTTAAAGCGCTCTAGAAATAAATCTGACGTTGACCATGACCGTGTTAATATTTGCCATCACAGGAACGTTTTATAAAAAAAGAATAACATCCTGAAAACATTTTCAGAATGTTTCTTGGAGAATGTTCTTCTTTGGTTATCATGTAACATTGAGGGAACGTTTTATAAAGAACATCTTTAATGTGTTACCCCAACAACGTCCAAAACACATCCATAGAATGTTGCAGACAAAACCTTCCACCTTTGTTAACATATCACATTAAAGGAACATTTTATAAAAAAACTTTCTGTCATCTCAGGCCTCAATAACATCCTCAAAACATCCTCTGAATGTTGCAGTTAAAACGTTATGTCTTTGTTAACCTGTTCCACTCTGAGCCTGTTTTTCAGGTCTCAGGCTCGAAAATGACATTCCCAGAACAAATGACCATATCTTCCCTTCTAAAAGGGTTAAATTAATAATCTTTTTTCTCAAAGTAATGATAAACCTGTGAGTTGGATGTAGAAGTGTCAGAATCAATATAAATGTTTTTTATTTTAAAGAAAATTCAGATTTTACATAGTAAAAAACTGTAAATTATAGTGTCCGTCCAAAAATTATTTTTTACAGATAGTGAAAACTACCCTTGGATGATGGGTTAGTAGACTAAAAGCTTTAGGAATCCAAAGTACAACATATAATAAGTACCCTGTATCAAGATTGATGCAAAACAAGTGAAATTTTACCTTTTTAGAGAGATTTAGCCAAAAACTGGGCCATCTGGGGTCATTTGGGTGGATTTGACCTATCTCTGGCCCCCCTTGCTCGATTTGGTTGGTTGACATACCCTTGTGACCGTTAGAGCCAATAGAATCGAAGGGGGAGGACAACACCCACACACGTTGTAAAGAAAAAATGTGGGCGCTTCGCGTGTGGAAAACGAAACCAAAGTGGAGGAATGTCTCCTTCTGGAGTTTGGAAACTAAAACGCAGTTGTATTGCTTATGGATTATCAGAAATAATTTCAAAGAAGGCACAGACACATAGGATGAACCTATGGATTAACTGCAGCATCGTTTTTTTATCATTTTAATGCCATTGAAGACCACTTTTGACCAAGGTAAGCCATATTTACGTGTTTAGCTTCTTAGCTCCACATGTGATGATGTACGCTTTCGTTTATAGCGTCGCGAATGTTTATCACTGAGTGTTGAGGTTTTTTACACAGATTCAGTGTCTCCAGGACACCAAAAACGAGTGGTTGGCTGTGCATCTAGGATAAGTAATAAGGGAGTTATGAGTGAGTTTAAGTGCCTTTGTAGGTTCCGTTTTTTCGATCGAGGCTAATTCAGAGGCTGAGTGCTAGCATTGTGGGGTTTTTTTGAAAAAAAAAATTAAAAATATCAGTTAGCTGAGTTTCTTCCCGTTACATGGATATAACACATTCATAGTTTTATTCAATATTAAGATTCCTTAGACGTTGTTTCCTGCAAATGACGCGTTTATCCGCCCGGTACCGGGGGGAAGGTGTGAAACAGGTTAACCTTAAACCTTATAGGAACATTATTTGAAATAATAAACATCCTAAAAGGTTCTTTGAACATCAGATTAAAACGTTTCTTTAAAACATTATTAGAACCTGTAGGTAATGTTAGCCAAAGTTGTGAGAACGTTCCCCGCTAGCTGGGTAGGTCTCAGATATATACAATCTGGGGGGGCGGAGCTTATGCCTGCTCATACGGGACCCGGCAGATACTGTCTATAATAAATGCTGCGGTGATGAAACGCCAAAACCACATCAAGGATTATTTCTGAAACAGTGTGGAGCTCAAAGGCTTTCTCTCTCTCAGGTTTACAACAAGGTGAGTTCCTTTTTTATTTCCTGCTTCTTCACACATGCTCTCTCCAGTACAGGTTAGCTCTGAGTGTTAGCATGCTTGCTAATGTAAACAAAGACCATATTACGTCCAAAACAAGTCGGGCATTGATTCTGATAGTGACGTTTCTGATAGTGCCGTGGGTCCACCATTCGATATGATGTAATTTACGTCATATCGGATGGCATATCTGGATCAGCTCCGTTGTAGCCCCGTTTTTAGAGATTTGGGTACGGAGGAAAAGAGAGAGGGTTTTATTTTCTGACGCTGCCTGAGTTCCCTGACACACCGGGGGACACATATATATAAAAGACATCAAAAAGTGAATTTTTCATGATAGGTCCCCTTTAATGCCTCTTAAAGGGTTCCAATTCAATAGAAAATAAATATCGAGCCACTCCCCACCACACACGCAGATAACTCTAGCCTCAAGCTCGGCATTTTGGCAGTTGAAATCTCAGTTTTGGCTTTGGCCATCTTTGAAAACATTAGTCACATAAGTGAGCTAAGTTCAACCGAACCTTTTAAGAAGAAATTTGAAGGCAAAAAAAACACAATCTTAAACAAAGTAATAAGTGAACAACACAGACATCAACCAGACTGCAAAACACTCTGGCAGTGTCTGAAAATCACAAGTTATCTACACCCTCAGGCATATGCTACTTTCTTGTCTATTTGGCTCTATCCCAGGAACTATCGGAACTAAACGAGAAAAGTACGGGGAAACTCTTCAAATGTTGATCCTTGGCATTCTAAATGTGGTAAGTTTTAAATTAAGCTTTATTTTTTTAATCTAGATTTGATCTTTCAAGAAGGGTATGTTTTAAATTTTTTGTGGAGATTAAGGCCATGTGCTCAGGAACAGGTTTTTTTTTGTAAACACATGGCAAAATAGATGAAGGAAAAAAAAGCAATTGGTATCAGACACCTAACTTTAAAAGTATACTTCCCCTCCAAAATGATAGTTTCAAATAAATTCCTCACCCCATGTTACCTTGTGAACTGCAGAATAGTATGCAAGTGTGCCCTGTAGCCTACTCCGGAGGCCTGAAAGGCTAACAACAACACATACTGGGAAGCACAAGTGTTTTGTAACCCTTTGACTCACAGCACTGAAAGCTTTATAGTCTCATCACACACACACACACACACACACACACACACACACACACACACACACACACACACACCACACACACACACACACACAACACACACACACACACACACACACACACACACACACACACACACACACACACACACACACACACACACACACACACACACACACACACACACACACACACACACACACTTTGGATAAGTACTCACCTTATCCGCATTGTCAATTGTTGCCTTCTTTAGAGTTATTAGTGATTCAAGATTAATTATTAAGTTAAATGGGGTACATAAGATAAAATAAATAAATAACTTTGACTTGATAATTTTGTTCACAGCATTGGACCTGTCCTCTAATCTCTACTAGAGTAAGATAAGTATGCATGTTTGGGTGTGTTACACTCCTGTAATGTACCTAATCTTGATATCCTTTTCATTACAAATTGTTTCTCATAACAGACACCTCACATTCTCACTGCTGTCCCAAAGGTTTTAACCTTGTGCAAACAAGCTGTTCACACACACACACACACACACACACACACACACACACACACACACACACACAACACACACACACACACACACACACACACACACACACACACACACACACACACACACACACACACACACACACACACACACACACACACACACACACACACACACACACACACACAGGACAACAATTTGTCAACTTACATTTATTCCCCGGCGACCTTATGTTAAGTTATCTTTTGTGGAGCTTGTAGTTGGATTTTGTTTTTGTCAGTTATATATCCAGGCTTACCGTTTCCCCATTCTCCAGTGTTAATGCTAAGCTAAGCTAACAGTCTGCTGGCTGGAGCTACACATTAGCACACAGCTATTAAAGTGGTAGGACCGCCATGTCAATCTCATCAAGAGAGCTAAAAACCTTTATTTTTAACCTTGTGCCGACCAGCTGTTTGTCCCCTGATTGAAGGTTGAGCCCTCATAATGTGTCGCATGTTGGCCTCCACAACATTATAACAGTACTAACAAAATGAGACAGATGAGAGTGATGGAAAGACTGTTTATACCGCCAGTAAAGACCCTTATGTGATACATCCTGTGCAGTCCAATTGCTAGAACTCATTTCCCCACCACTGCAGGATTGGCTCCCTCCCCACACATGACCCCTTCACCTCAAAATGGCATCAAATTAACAGTTAAGGCAACATGTGTATAGACGTCAGGGAGTGACAGAGAAGGAAGGTGATTATCTTGCAGCTTTGACACACTGGTGGGAGGCATTGGTGGCAGAAGAAAGGGAAAGAGTGGATGTCAGATGAGGCGTGTATCCACCATGTCTGTAATAACCATCTTTATCCATCATCATTAGCCACTGCAAAAGACTGCAAGTGCCTATCACATCTGTTCGTCCACCCACGGGTTTGCAACAAGCCTCTAATATCGAGACTTGCTTTTTGTGCAGGAACTGGAATGGTTGTACTTTCAGTCATCATCATTCGGTCACATACTTGCAAAGCGGTGTAACCACGTCTCAGTATTTAAACAATGAGCTGCCATCACTCACACAAACGTCCTGTTCCTTCTGAGACCCGCTGATAAACATGAAAATTCTGCATTGCATTCATCTTTCCCTCCTTCCTCCTCTGAAGTGTCACTCCCTAACTGGCCCGGTGAGCAGCGCAGCTTAGCCCTCCCTCTGCCTTTCACTCATGGCTGGGCACCTTCATTTTTTACCGTCCTCACTCACATAGACCTGTTTAGACATGTTCCATCATGCACACCATGCACAGACACAAAGAAAGCACCTGTTTGTGCTTGCTCAGACACGTACGCATGTCATGGAGCAAATATTCAGATCCCCAAAGTCCATGTATGTATCCATGCATATGCAAAAAGCTGCACAGCATACACAATGACAGATAGTACGGTATCCAAACAAAGATGCGTGCCATGAAAACTTGTTGAACTCAGTTTGCTTTGAGTTAAATATTCAGGGTTATAACTTATTTAGGAGCACAGAGGTCATGTTTATTTCTATTTTGGCTCCACTAGCAGCGGGAGTCTAATGAGGGTCTGTCCATCACTTTGGTGCAGAGCAGGATGTGTCAGCATACAAGGTTTTTCGATATACTATATTTTTATTTTTACATTTTGACATACTATACTATAATGTTCGTGAGCTCGATGCAAAACTCATGTTGTCCTTCTCTTCTTTTCTCCTCAGATGAATCCAGAATGGTGCCAGCAAAGCCACCGATGATGAGCTTCTGTACAAATCCATGATTTCTCTTTTGCAATAACATTTCAGTTGTTAGCCAACATATTTTCCATGCTTTGATTCTATCGCACATGCCCCCTTTATGTATATGTATATTCATATGTATCTCCAAAGCGACCAGTCCCTTCCCACACAAGTCTTAAAGGTCACCTATCATGCTATTTTTAGGCAATAGCATAGGTCTCAGATATATAAAAAAAATATAAAAAACATGTCTCTGAAGTGTTTTGGTCAAAATACCAAACAGATCACCCATTCTAGCCATGCCTCATATCCCTCTATTTCACTTCCTGTTACAAAAGTGCTGATTCTGGGTATAAACAGGTCTCTCTTGAGAATGAGACCCTGTGTCTCAATGAGATGTTCACCTGTATAAATAAAGGCTAAAAAAAAATAAAGCTTTTTTTTTTTTTGTTAAACTGAAAAAAATTAAAATAAGAGGGGGCGGAGCTTATGCCGGCTCATGCGGGACCTGGCAAATACTGTCTAAAATGCTGTGGTGATGGTTTCAGCAAGGATTATTAGATCAAGGATCATCTCTGAAACAGTATGGAGCTCAAAGGCTTTCTCTCTTGCCGGTTATACCACAAGGTGAGTTCCTTTTTATTTCCTGCTTCTTCACACACATGCTCTCCAGTACAGGTTAGATCTGAGTGTTAGCGATGCTAATGTAAACACCGACCATATTTACGTCCAAAACAGTCGGGCATTGTTTCTGATAGCAACGTTTCTGATAGTGCTGTGGGTCCGCCGCCAATATTACGTCATATCGGACGCAAATCTGGATCAGCTCCGTTGTACCTCCGTTTGTAGAGATTTGGGTACGGAGGAAAAGAGAGAGGGTTTTATTTTCTGACGCTGCGTGAGTTCCCCGACACACCGGGGACACATATTTATGTATAAAAGACATAAAAAAGTGCATTTTGCATGATAGGTCCCCTTTAAACTCATAACCCCTGACACTCCAACCATTCTGCTATATCCCTGAGCTACCTGACCTGACAACTAACTTTTTGTATATTTGACTATTGCATTTTGAAAGTCTGCTGCTTAAATTTCAGATTGAACCAACAACCCTTGGCCTTCAAACCATTCTCTTATCCCCTTGAGCTATGTGACATCGAATACATCTTTTTGCATGTGTGTATTTGACTTTTTAAGTCAGAGCTTTCTAATTATTGTACCACATAAGGAATGAAGCCACCTTGAGGTCTTCAAAGTTCTTTCTTATCACCCTGAGGTATTCGACCAGCCTGCTTTAGTCATATTGTCCCGCTAGGATGTTGGACCTTTAATCTCACTCTACCATGTGCGGATCGAACCCACAACCTTCAGTTCTCTAACCATTTTGCTATCCCACTGAGTTATCTGATCTGACTTGTGTTTCTTTGCCTATTTAACTTCACCTTTGGAACTATAAAGTTTAAAGCACTAACGTTGTGTTAACAATTATATTTCATGTTGGGGGTTACAAAGGTCACACAGTGTTTTGCCATTGTTTGCATTGATTAATTAAATATGTAAAACGTGTAATACGGTATGAAGCTAAACGTATGTGTTGTTCATTTTAGTTCTTAATATATGTATGTTTCTATATAAACATGCTGTAACAAGTTCTTCTGATGTTAGATTTGATATGTAATAAACATTTACACAAGTAATGAAAACTGAGGCTCATCCAGTGAAGATTGACCAAACTTTTCCACATCAGAAACTTGGACCATGACATCAAATGTGGTAGTAAAGTGAGGCATTAAAAAAGTATGTTAACATTATCAGAAAAAAGCAACATGTAATAAAAAATGCAAAAGAAACCATGGTATTTTATGTCGAAATAAGTCACGGTATAGTGTGTAGAAACCAGGCGTAGTATCGTATGTCGTTTAAAATGACAGAAAAGTCATAGCATGTCGAAAAAATGCAAATTAGAATACTATACTATGAATTTTTATTTAATAGACTAAACATTCCTCCAGAGTGTAGGCTGGTTGTTGGTAAATGAACATTCTTGGTTCCCTGAGGAATAGACACGCATGAAACCTTAAAAATAATTATATATACATTTTTTACATAAGCTTTATACATGCAATGTAAATGTTTCTGTTACAAACGGCATTCTTATCTGTCAATCTGACCCAGTTACTGTTATCTGAAGGATTGAAATGAAACGTACGTCTGTGTGGGCGTTCTGACAAACAGCAGGGGGGCATCGATAAAGACTTTGCACGCTGTCAAAACCAAACGCTGAGGCTAATGATGGTGGGTGGCGCCATATGCTCCTCACATTTATCGTGAAAAAATCACTTGAAAAGAAGCTGCTTCAACAAAGGGTTTTTTCTCCCGCGGTGTGTCATATCTAACGATATCATAGTTTCATGTTTGATTGTAAGTCGAGCTCCTTTTATGTTGTATTCCTGTAGAAACCTTTCACCTGTAACCATGTTCAGCCCTCCTGCTGTGCACCGACTCGCTCACTGTCAAGATGGTCGAGCAACTAATTGGAATTTTCCCGATAATTACTAGCAATTATAATGTACAGCTCTTTTCAGAAAAGGTCATGGAAATGAAAATATATTGATTTTATGAACCCATAAGATGATAAAAAACGGAAAACTATAAAAAAAAATCCAGAATCAAATACTCTTGATTCTAATGAGGCAATTTTCTTGGCATTTTACAAGAAAAATATATAATAAATTGTGATTATTCTTACTATTCCAATGTCAGAATAAACACCTGTTTGACATTTAATAAGCTCTCCATTTGCTTGCAGGATCTTCAGGTTAAAGAGCTTTGTACAAAACATGTCTTTTGACATAAAAATATAATTGCATGACATTGGGTGAGCCCACACTCTTTTGTTTTTAACCTTTACTCTAGCAGCGTCTAAGAATAAATGTACACTTTTAGCCTCGATGCAGATGCAAAGCAGAATCATCAGTTTGTTCGATCTATTGACGTCTTTGTATTATTGGATGCAATGAACATCTGAGCCTCTGGAGATATATTAGGCTGCTCTCTGCCTTTCGAGGTTTGGCGCTCATACGCAGTTCATTTCCACAATACGGTTTTTATTACTGTCTCTGAATGACTGGAAGTAATCTAAAGGGCCATGTGCACAGCTGTGCAGTACTCACACTTTAATTGAATTAATCCACATTCAATTTAAATTAAAGAACAGAGGAGCAAACACAATGGCATCTCAACCTCAGTTTGTTTATGTCCTGATCACATCACTAAGTCTCTATACAAATCGCATTTATTATTGATTTCAGGTGCATACGAGGTAAACATAAATTAACACTGGCTCATTGGCAGCCTGATGATCACATCACAGCGAACACCCATAAATAGACGCACACACACACACATATGCACACCAGGTGCGTCGTGATCATAAGTGGTCTCGGCGGAACTAGGCGGAGATGACGTAATGGCACAAAGTGTCAGGGGAGCAGGTGTTTGTAGCTCTCAGAGAATTAAGAGAGCCTGAGATGTAGAATGACCCTCTTTGCTTTCCTTCTGCAGCCATAATAATACATGTCTCCTCAATATCTTTGATCCTTGTTGTTTCTCTTCTTTTTTGACTCTACTTCTTTCCTCTTCATTCTCCTATCTTATGTTGTGATTTCCATCCTCTGTCTGTGTCATTGTTACTCCTTATTCCCGTCTCTTAATCTCACAAAATCCTGTTTGCTAACTGCTTTATTCCGCAGTGTGTCTTTTACCAACAGCAATATTCAGACATACACATGGATAATAAGGACTGTGTAATACTGTGTGTATAAATAGCCTGGAAAGCCGTTTAATAATTTCTTTTATTTACAACACACAGTAGACGCAGTGTCCAGCTCAGATCTTCCCGACATACAGTTTACAATCCTAGCTCGATTTGTTAAGATCACAAAGCCCCTGCGTCAGCTCTAAATCACAGGGGGGTTTCGCCAATAAACCGACAATCCCTTTGAAAAAACACCTTTCCAATGAGCATTACATCAAAATCTCAATGTATATATTTTTTTTATTCTAATGAATCCACATTGAGCACAATGCTTCCACACCAAAAAATATGACAATCTTCAAGAATGATGGTGTCTTTTAGGGACAAATACAATCCTTCCAGCACAATCCAAGCGAACGCCCTTGAAACTTGATGTGTGCAAGAGGTGAGAGAGGGAGGTGCGTAACTTCAGTTAATCCACACACTGCCTTTGGACAAAGTGGCCCGCAGCTCTGCGACCTTATCAGTCTTGAAGCTTCATCTTTCTAGGTCCAAAGAGCTTTCGAACATGTGGATCGGATAGTCCCTTTTTCAAAGAGCAGCACAGATACTGTATGAGAGAAGAAAGTCCAACACCTTGTGCTATCAAAAAGACTATGTTTATTTAAGAGTAATACTGTTCCATTGAAGTCCAAGTACTGTTGAGGAAAAAGTCCTCTTGTGTTTGTATTTATTGCATTGCGTCTTTGTTTTTTTCTTGCTGCTCGAGTAAGGCAGGTTAAAAATATCTGCACCGTGGCCATCTGTTTTCACCGTTTCAGTAAGTGCACCACACTTAGTAATATCAATTTTTTAATATCCTGTCGCTCAGCAGCTGAGAATCTTGATAAAAGCCCGTCTGAACTCGATGTTGAAGGTGGTGTAGATAATAGGGTTGAGGGCACTGTTGACGTAACCCAGCCAGGTGAAAGCGCTGTAAAGCCCAGGAGGCACGTAGCATGTCCTGCAGTGGGTGTTCACTATGTGAGTCACAAAGAAGGGCAGCCAGCAGATGAGAAACACCCCTGGAGAGGCATGGAGAAAGGACGAAACACAAAAAGCACAAACAAAGTTGTAAGAAAATGTGTCTACTACAACATGCTAAAGACGTTAGCATGCTCAGCTAACTAGCTTACTACCAACAGACCCTTTCAAATCTCCATTTCAAAAGTGATATCATAAAGTATAACAATGTAAATGTCCAGTGTGTTAAATTTAGTAGAAAACAGTGGCCTTAAGCTAAGGCAATAACGCTAAAGCCTTCTCTTTAGCCAGAGTTTGGTTTGTCCGTTCTAAGCTAATGTAAATAAATGGCTAACTCCGCGAAGAGGAATACAGATAGGCTATGAAGGGCTCTTTCTAAGCTGACAAAAACAAAATTATTCTTAGTTTCAGGTGATAATACACAAATGAAAACATATTTGTTAATATCCAACCCAGTCTCACGGCATTTCGTGTAATTTAATCTATTGATTCGTGTTCACCAACACGATTTTCACATTTTTTTCGTGTCACACAGAACGATTTTAAATGCAATGTATTTCTATTGGTAGTATGTTTCGTGCCTGCAACACGTCTTTTTGTCCGGTCGGGTCTTGGAAGACCAGAAGCTGTGTGGTTCATAAAAACATGTTCTTACTCAATATCTTACCCTAAGCCTAACCCTATCCCTGAGTTTTTTTGCCGTCAGTGAGGAAAAGAAATGGAGCTCAGAGCCTCAGAATACTGACATCCGTATTTTTTTAAATGTCTTTTTCCTTCTAATTTGTTATTATTTACATTGCTTTTAAAATCGTTCTGTGTGACACGAAAAATAATGGCGAAATCGTGTTGGTGAACACGAATCAATAGATTAATTTCGTGACTATAACACGAAATGCCGTGAGACTGTGTTGCAATATCATATTCCATTTCTGCCAATAAATCCCCCTAAACCCCACACACTGGACTTTTAGGGAAGTTTGAATATGAGGTACTCGTTAGCATGCTGGACTAATTAGCCTATGACCAACAGTACAAACCAAATGTACTTCTAAAGTAATCTAATGGTGTATAACAATTAATATAGATAATAGCTAACTACAGTATATGAATGATCATTTGGGGTTACAGTTGATTTTAGAAAACATTCAAACAGTCAAAGGTAGAAAAAAAGCAAAAGAATCAGGTTTCTTAACCAACTCATAGCAGAATTTGAGATGAAATAACAATCAATGAACAGCCGAGGGCAGCAGCAGTTAGCCTGAATTGGTTTACTTTTATGCAAAATCAAACACCGACTACTTCGAAAAGTAACTATAAATGTTTAATCAGCGTCTCATTTCAAACTGCCTGTGAGTTGTGTTAGAAATCTCTACAGGCCTAGCAATTAAAACACTTTTGTTTCCCTATTAATCCATACTTTGGGACTTCATACCACTCTCACTTATTTTCCCAGGCAGCCATAGGACATTTTTTATATATAAACAACTATAAATGCTGCAGCATAGTAGAAAAACACATTAAATTCCAGCGCTACAATTGGGGTCACAGCTTCATGGCAATATCAGTGGATGTGGGAGTGGGATTACTTCTGTGTATGCGCCACAGTTTTCACCAACACCCGTGTAACGTAATGAGACACCTCTGATTACATTAATGTCAGAGAGATCCATACCGGGCCAGAGCTAAATTGTCCAGCCTCGTAGAAAGCTGGCTGATAATTGGAGCGTGTGGAAGCTGCGTCAGGAGCAGCGTCCGGAAGAGCTGTGTGTGTTTGGACTCACACTGGGAACCCAAAGCCAGCCAGACATTTCTGACAATTCAACTTGATTTATTGGGGCTCTGCAAAATATGCAGCAAATGCACACCGAGTGAGAAAATGTGCTGTTGCCATCACCTCCAGGAAGTAGACGGTACAAGCAGAAAAGACAATCAAAATGTTTAAGGAGTTGTAGCAGGGTAAGCAAGTCTACATTAAATTGCCTCTGCAGTTATACGCTTTATTATTATTATACTAGGCATTGATAGCCTGCTAATGCTCGGGCTTTAGCTGTGTATTATAGCCTGTTTGCACTCATGATGTTACTTTTTTGTGTGAACTGCACAATACTGTTTTAGGCTTAAGCGTACATTCAGAAATCGTGAAGCTGTGTAACGAAGTGAAGTCCATTTTATTACTTTTCATTCATACTGTAATAATAGAAATGTCAATATATGTATTTAGATCAATTTGGCCCGGACAAACATCACTAAGTGTTATGACCTTTACCCTTTCATCCCCACTCAAGACAATCTCCACTTACCCAGCACGATGGCCAGCATCTGAGTGGCCTTTTTCTCACGTGCGTGCATGCTCCTGAATCTTGAACTGTTGATTTGTGATTGAGCCGTCCACCGTACTGTCGTGTGCGTTCGTCCGTTTGACAGATCCTTCACCTCGCAGTTCCTCCTGACGGCAGGCCGGTCGTTCTGGTCGTCCTCCTCCTCCCCTCTCTCCGGCTCCATCTCGGTGCGACCGCAGGAGGCGTGGCTGAGGCTGTTCTGCGTGTCCACCGGAGGCAGACCGGAGTCCACGGGGTTCGTCTTCGGACGCTTGCGCCACAAACACTCTGACAACAGGTTGGGCTTGGAGGGACTTGAAGGCTCTACGCCCTGCTGTGGGACACAATAACACATGACAAAGATAAGCTGTGCAGTCAGAAAACATATTCTTCTAATCAAGTTTCATTTTTTCTATACTTTATTGTTACATTTTATTGACAACACAGCCCATTTAGTTTTGTAATTATCAACTGCACTGATAAATACATGTGCAATAACTTACTTACTGACTTGTTTAAACGTTTTACTGCCTTGACCGTATTGTTCTTGTATTTGTATGGTAATGTGTTTTGTAAGCGTACTGTTCAATGCTTGGATTTCGCTGCACTGTAAATCAATAATAAATGCGATTTGTATAGAGACTTAGTGATGTGATCAGGACATAAACAAACTGAGGTTGAGATGCCATTGTGTTTGCTCCTCTGTTCTTTAATTTAAATTGAATGTGGATTAATTCAATTAAAGTGTGTAGTGACAATAAAAGGAATCTAATCTAATCAATATATCCTCAGCGAATAGTCTCAAAATGGGATCACAAATCTGTGTCGATATCAGTCAAGTCTTTCTCCTCAGAAGAGGCTAGTAGATCCAGAAAATTCTCCATGGATTATGTAACAACCCTTTTCATGTGTAAGACCCATTTGCACCAGTATTTGTCTAAGTATATAGTATATATGCCAAGCACCAAATGGCAATATTCTGCTCATTTTCAGGTTACAGGTACATGCTTTAATGTTCAAAAAGGTCTTTACTCTTCTCAAACTGCCTGTGTTTGCCAACTACTTAATGAGGCAATGTGAAAAACTATGTCAGTGTTCTGAGATTGCCCCAAAAAAAAACAATACTTCTTTACTGGCTTACACTTTTCGGTCTGTTCAAAGACACTTTCATCTTATCCTGCTTCGACATCATAATACTAAAGCTTAGTGCTCCTTCAGTGAGTCTAAAGGAAGCAAGAGTATGACTCAGAACGTTTGATGTCCAATACGTCTTAGAAGTGTTGCGGTGTTCAGACAGATTCATAGCAATAGAGACTCCTTCGTGATCCTCAATGCCTAGTTTTTAAGTGACAGATGCAGTTAACATTGAGGAAACATCAGTGTGACGGTATCTGTAAATACAATATATCCTTCTTTTAGCAATTTACTTTTGAAAACTCAACAAATTCAGTAACAGCTCCAATGAGCCTTTTCCCCCTTGGAGCGATAATAAAAGTCATTAAATAGTTAGAAAGTATAATTTAATGTGTACTTTCAGTAAAGCCACAGTAACATACATTTTCAATCTTCTCTGACTTCACACATGACAGATTCCCTCTGCCTTTGAGCAGTCTGTTGATAATGCAGGTGCTGCAGTGCGTCACACACACCACACACACACACACACACACACACACACACACACACACACACACACACACACACACACACACACACACACACACACACACACACACACACACCACACACACACACACCACACACACACACCACACACACACCACACACTTTGGATAAGTATTCAGTATTCTTATCCACATTGTCAATTGTTGCCTTCTTTAGAATTATTAGTGATTCAAGATTAATTATTAAGTTAAATGAGGTACATAAGATAAAATAAATAAATAACTTTGACTTGATAATTTTGTTCACAGCATTGGACCTGTCCTCTAATCTCTACTAGAGTAAGATAAGTATGCATGTTTGGGTGTGTTACACTGCTGTAATGTACCTAATCTTGATATCCTTTTCATTACAAATTGGTACACACACACACACACGCACACACACACACACGCACACGCACACACACACACACACACACACACACACACACACACACACACACACACACACACACACACACACACACACACACACACACACACACACACACACACACACACACACACACTTCTCCCAGCTTTTGACCAGGTGACGAAATGCAAAGAGCCACGCTTCAGAATCACAATGTTCAGCTCCCTCTCAGAGCCCTGGGCTGCAGCCTCGTAGCGGAGCAGAAAACTCAAGTTTGCACGAACATACAAGCTGGCAGACTCACATGAAAAGCTAAAAACAGAACCTCTGTGCATGCAACCAAGTCACAAAACGCCAACACAGTCAATATGAGAGTTAGTCAGGCTGCGCTGCATTCAGCAAAACCAGAGCAGTGAAAGAAATGCAAGATTCTCACGGTCGGTTTGGATCTCGAGTTTAAAATAGCACCTACCACTTTGATCCTTATAGGGGACAGGTCCTGCTTTGCCTTGGGAGTCTCCTCTTGTAGACAGGTCTCCTAAAGGATGAGAAGGAGATATATTTATTTGTAAGGAAATGCTTAAACCATCCTTATCTCATCCCAACACCCCTACCCAGCACTTCACAGGTTTAGAAAGTCTTGATTATGCTTTACCATAGAGGGGGTTACACCAACAAGGTTTATTTTACACAGAAGTCATGATATAACTTTAAATCATGCTACAAGATACTTTAAAACTTTAACATTCAGAGAGAATCAATCAAAACTTCTCATTAAATGTCTTTGAACTTAAACCTTTTAAAAATGACTAGATTTTAGAGTTTGATTGAGCCAAAATTAAAGGAGGAATAATTAAAGGGGCCCTATTGTGCTTCATATTTGTATCTTCTGCGTTGACAGTGTGTGGGAGAGAAACTCCCTCTGAGGGAACACAGAGATTTTAGCCTCTGCAGACCATTTACATGCACTAAAAACTATACAGGAAATGGAAAAGCCCAAAGAGCATAATAAAGCCCCTTTATAGCCATATTGAATAAGATTGAGCCAACTAATTCATCAGTAAGCTACCCTTTCCGTATTAATTAAACTCTACTTAAACAGGGCTTACATGAATAGACTTGGATGGATTAACTAAACAGAAATTAGTTTTTAATCGTGCAACAGAGCTTACTTTTATGTGCTGATCAATTAATTTCCCTCCCTCTAATTAAAACAGATTTAGATAGAAAGGAAACCCAGCCTATGTATGTGAGAGGATGTTTTTATGAAACCTCCGACAAATCATGTGGCGTCTCCGTGTCACAGATATGAATTAAAATGCATGTCTTATACGTTTTAAATCCCTTTCACTTCTGAGCGGGACGCAGCGCGACTCCATTAGAGCTCCCTGCAGAAATAAAGATAAGTCTCTTTTGAAACAAGCTTCCTTCTACATATCAATATCCTTCAGCTGACTGAGTCACAGTCCTGTTATGATATTTCAAAACACGTTTCCATTGTAACCCCCTCAGCCTGATCTCCTCCGGGGCTTAGATCTCACAATGAGTGTCTGCACTCATGGATGAGATCCCAAACTGGGGCTCAACGACAACCCATCATCTGTAAAACGCTGTTAAATAGGAAGCTGGGAGTTAGTGTGCAATGGAGTGGACACATCTTGTGGGACCACATTGCACAGGAAGCTCCCATTGCCGCTGCTGTCATCCAATTAAATAATAGTGGCTTTTTATACATCATCTTGAAGAGACAAAGGATATACAGATGCACAGAACATGAACTGGTATCCTTGCCCTTAATAGATAAAGCCATCATTTTGATATCAACATTATCTTTGAAACATAACAGCCTTAGGGGTGAATAATATAGCAACGTACAAGAAGGTTAAAGCCATCATGAATGATAGATGTAACTGGGACAAACACAAGAGTGATGGACGTGATCAAAGACATGACAGGTGGAGGAGAAGGAGTGAGGAGAAGGAGGATAGGTACACGCCATATGAAGAAGCACTTCAATGAGAAGACATGATGCTTTGTATGGACTGGAATATAATTGGCTCTCAAAATAAACACCAAGAAGAGAAGCAGAGATATCCTTTTCTTTTATATGTAATTCACTATCTATCCATCACTGTGTGTATTCATTACTTTAAGGACAAAGGGCAGCACGGAGTACATTCCTATCTAATTAAATTGTCTATTTATAAGCAACTTGACAGCCTTTTTAATTAAGAACACTTCTCGTGTTTTCAGTGACAGCCATGTCAGCTTCTTATGAACCACGATACTGTTTTTCTATCCAGTTCATTTCATTGTTGTTCAGCAGAGAGTTATAGCTCTCACCCTGCACGTCAACGGCCTTGAACAGCTTTTCTCGCCTCCTTCTGTCATCTTTTCTGAACCCTTTTACCAACAAATACATTCAAATGTGAAAAAAAGGCTTCATCTTATGCAATTTGACTGAGTATTCGGAACAAAAGTGTTTTATTTTACTGCATCGGAGTCTAGTTATGAAGCTCTATAAAAGGTTTTCCCTGTCTGCCATAATATATAGAAGTACATTTTGATTTGCATGTCATTATGAGAATGAATAACGTGAATGAGTGTGAGTTAGGCAGAGGTGCATGGGAAATATAAAGCAGCACTCAGGAGAAAACCAGAGATTTATTTTTCAATAATCCGATCTAAAGGGTTTCATTTGAGTGGATAATAGAACTCAGCTCTGTATAATAAATCAGGGACCACTTTCTAATAAGACACCCTTTACAAAGCGTTTAGAAAGCCTTGCTGACAATGATTGATAACGCACAAAGCTGCATGTTTCTGCATCGTATTTATGAATCTCAACAGCGCAAATTACACATTTCTGTACGAGGGAGATTGATTGCAAGAGTTGGCCAGGATTCATTTGTATTCCCTTATTGTTTGCACATTTGTTGGTACACAACAAAAGAAAATTAAGTACTATCTAGCAGCGGTTTATGAAACACAAATCTTTGTTAGCGTTTGTCCTTGGCCTGTTCTGTCTCTTCCTCTGTTGTGGCTCCCTTCTCTTCCCCTACGCCTCACTTTGCTGTCATTTCATGTCTCAGAGTCATAAATGAACCGCAGTACCATAACTCAGCAGAGGTAATGAAACACTAACATAACGTCCTCACCACAGACGGTGCAGTGGAGCCCGGCTGCACTTTACGGCTGGCCTGACGGAAGATTATCCTCTTCCTCCTCATCCGGAGGAAGACGTAGATGCGGATGTAGACGAGCAGAGTGACGATGAACGGCAGGTAGAAGGACACCACCGAGGAGTAGATCACAAAGTCAGGGTTGGAGATGGAGCACACCAGCGGGTCATCTGAGTGAAGAACAAAGGATTAAAGGTCACCTATGATGCAAAATCCACTTTTCCATGTCTCTTCTACATCAACATGTGTCCCCTCTTCTTCATGTCTCTTCTACATCAACATGTGTCCCCTCTTCTTCATGTCTCTTCTACATCAACATGTGTCCCCTCTTCTTCATGTCTCTTCTACATCAACATGTGTCCCCTCTTCTTCATGTCTCTTCTACATCAACATGTGTCCCCTCTTCTTCATGTCTCTTCTACATCAACACGTGTCCCCTCTTCTTCATGTCTCTTCTACATCAACATGTGTCCCCTCTTCTTCATGTCTCTTCTACATCAACATGTGTCCCCTCTTCTTCATGTCTCTTCTACATCAACATGTGTCCCCTCTCTTCATGTCTCTTCTACATCAACATGTGTCCCCTCTTCTTCATGTTTCTTCTACATCAACATGTGTCCCCTCTTCTTCATGTCTCTTCTTCATCAACATGTGTCCCCTCTGTAGAAAGAGACTCTGAAAGTTTCAGGAAAAAAGATTCTCTCTCTTTTTGTCCTGATCCATTTCTATAAAAACCTGTCTGAAAATGAGCTGATCAGATTTTGGCCACTTTATGATGTCATAACGATGTTTTGTCTTGTGTAACCATTAGCCAATCAGCCCCCAAGGTAACCCCCCCCCACACCTTATCACCTGAATCTCCTCCTAGAGCACCATTGAGTTATTTTTAACCAAATCTCTCTCAGAGGGGCGTGGGGAGGGGCTCCTTATTTTCATCTAAAGTAACAGACAGAGAATCAGCACTTTGGAAACAGGGCTGAAACAGAGGGGATTATGGGATGCTGCAATGATCTGTTTGGTGTTTCAGCCAATCAGAGACAGGTTCTATATATATCTGAGACCTATAACATATTGATGAAAAACTGTATAATAGGGGACCTTTAATATGCAGAACACCCTATAAACGTCAGGATAGTAAAAGAGACAGAAGGCGTAATTTATAGATAACCTCTGACCCTGTTCATCTTGAGAATGACCTAGATGTCACTTCTAGAGATTACAAAATATGGAGTTTAGGGCCTTTTTCATTATTGCGGAGAACAGCACTTTTATGAATACACTCACAAAGGGCCACACTTAAGTATTGTAATAATTAAAGGGCCCCTATTGTGATTTTTTCCCCTTTCCTGTAGTGTCTTTTATAGGTTTGTGTGCATGTAAATGGTCTGCAAAGACTAGAATCCCACTCTCATCTTTTATTATTGTATTTCCCTTGGTTATACATCACAATCTTGCGCCGTAAGAAATGACCTTGATGACTTGTCCTGCATATTATCACACAGCAGTGAGGTGGGGATGTGATTGATTTGATGATTATTCTACCATTTATTCAGATTACGAGCCCATTTGATTTGACATAATAATAAGGTAGAGCCATATTTCAATCAAAAGCCCGAGCTAAATATCTATCAGTGAGTTTATAGTGCTGCAAATTGAAATTGGAAAAAAAAAGGGCCGGCTCTCTGCACAGCTGTGTGTGATGCAGGTCAGAGGCATGAACAAACTGAAGTGATTGGCCTCTCCACGGATGTTCCTGTGGATCAATAACCCCTCAATACAAAGAAAGATGGAAACCAGCACAGACACACACAATCTATTTCCAGTCACGATCCAAACCACGTTCAGTTTCTAGATGATTTTGTACTTTAATTGCACATTTTAGCTGCTGTTTTTCAATCCATTTCTTATGAGGGTTAATGAAGGACCCACTGTTCGCTCTTTCTAGTGCTGATTCGGGTTAGTTGCATACTGACAAAAAAAGTCTGCAATCACCAGCCATTGTCTAGCATTGATTGTGAGCAACCAAATGCTGCATCCCAGAGAGCAGCTTTACATTGTGTCCTCATTGTGTATGTGCAGTCATGCAATGGTGCTGCTGGCAATGTGAATTAAAATTGCTGCTTTTCTCTGTCTTGTTTTACAGTTTTGTTTCATTCTTCCTCACACAAACACAGAAGACCTTACTTCATCTGCATCTGTATTGTTCACAAACACGTGTGATACCAAAAAACCTCCCTCAGAATCATCCAAGACAAAACTAGAAGAAGAAGTCACCTGCACTTTCTATTATATTCTATTTTATTTTATTTACCTATACTATTTTTTCTGTGTTATTGTGTTGCACTGTTGGAGGAGCCTGTGACCTACAATTTTGAAAATACAAGCCTTGAATCCTTGAACATGAAACTTGAAACCTCATTTTGAAAGTTAGAAAAAGGAGACATGTTTCACCTGACTGGGAAAACGCAATTAGTATGTCTACTCCCTCCACAGATACATCTCTCAAAACAAACAGACAACTAAAAGTGAGACAGTCACATTTGGGAAAAAAACCTAGAAACATTTCTCCTGCAGTGCACTTAAAAAATATATTAAGTTCTGTAAAGCTGTGCATCATTATCAAGGGCACTTCGGACATTTAGTACTGCCGTTTAATAAGGTTTAGGCACTTAGAGGCAGGTTTAAAAAAATGGTCTAGACTGAGTTATTGTGACGTTTCAAATATTGTTCTGCTCATGTCCAGGTTCATATCAGTATGTAGTGTCTCTACTGTGACATGTCTCCATGCTTTAATGTTCAAAAAGCTCTTTATTTTTCTCATACTGCCTGTGCTGCAGCAACTCTTTTCGAGTGTGGGAGAGAACATACACAGATTTGAGCCTTTGCAGACCGTTTACATTCACAAAAACCTATATAAACACTGGAGGGTAGAGAAAACCCCAAAAAGCGCAATAAGGCCTCTTTAATGAAATGCCCCTCACCTTGTAGTGAATGCATTTAAAGCCTAATGTAGTACAAATACAAGTAGTCAGATATTCTGAATTTGTGTGACTTTGAAAGACAACTCCAAGGCGACAGCTTCTGCTGCTCCTCATGTCTAACCTGACACCAGATGGTTTGTTGCACTTGAGCATCTGAGGGGACATCATTGGAAATGATTTGGAACGGGGCAGTCAAAAACAACTTGGCAGGTGTTAACCACGCCCACAGCTGCCAGAGCTACACAGGATGTTGACTGCATGTCTTAAAAGTATTACTTGGAGCCTGACAAGATGGATGTGTACTCCTGTATGACCTTGAGATAAGGACATGTCTCTCAAACTCAACATGCAACAGCTTGTAATACAAACAAGCTCTCGGGTAAATCGTCAGTCTCGTCATGAGTTTTTTCAGTCAGGCTAGACCAGGGGTGTCCAAACTACGGCCCGTGGGCCAAATGCGGCCCGTGGCCCATTTTGAATCGGCCCTCAGCTAATTAAAAAAGTATAATGGAATATGGCCCACAAATAAAACGTGTTCTTGTACTTCTTAAATATATATGTGAACATATATTACACAGCAGTACTCATGTGTTAACGAGCCCACTTTTCAAATAAATTCAGTCAATTAAAGTCAACAAATCTTAAAAAAAGCCCAATAACTTAATTACATAACAAGCTTGAAATAGACCCTTCATATTTCCTCTAATAAGCTATCTGAGGCTTTTGTTTTAAGGAATGAGCTGCCAACAAAATGAATGAAACCCTATGGAGAGCTGAGATGTAGGCTGTTTTTTTCTTAAAGCATGTTCAAGTATCTAACCCTATTTGATTGATTTTGCTAACTTATAACTGAACTGATAAGGCAATATACCTCTAGTGAGTGGCCCAGCCCTTGGTATGTTCTTCTGTATGTGGCCCTCAGTGAAAAAAGTTTGGACACCCCTGGGCTAGACGTTAAACAACATGTTCTCAGGCTGAGTAGTACAGACCATGACACTCTGACATGCTAAATTAGTAGAATGCACCTTTAAATCCCGCATTAGATCGCATGCCATGTCCCACAGCTGACCCTAAAAGGCAAATACCCCTGACCCTGAATTTCCCAGTCACACGCTGCCTTTCGTGACTTGAATTATATTTTGCATCCTGCTAAAATGGACTCGCTGTGTGTGATGTGTCCGGACATTAAGATGGAGTCATTATGTTGACCTGACCTGTGGTGTTGAAACCAAACAGCAGCGGGCAGGAGACGGTGAAGGCCAGGACCCACACGGTGCCAATCATCACAGACACTCTCTTCTTGGAGCGATACGTGATGTTGTACAGGACGGGCATCACCACGGCTGTGTACCTGCAGGACAACACACACATTTACAGTCTGTCTCGCTGTGAGAACGAGAGAACATGGTGACATCTGAATGGAGACAAAGGTGCTGATGAAGTACAGGAAAAGGGAACAAATGCAGTGAGAAATTGAGTGCTTCCAGAAAAGCACTGCTGAGAGAAATTGGATAATATCAGGTGGAACAATGGAGCACCAAAGCAGGCACTTCTATTTAGAACAATTTGGGTATTCAGCAATAAAAGTGGAGCTGTGATTTAAGAGTTAATCAGCACACAGAACCCAAGAGTGTGTAATGAGCCCGGGAAAAATGGGCTCAGAAGGAGCAGCAATTACGCTGGACCCCGACCCAAAATGGATGTGATGTTATATGTTGCTTTGAGCCAACTGCCATCCTTGTTTGTCCTCATCAGACTAATTACACTGGCTGCCTTTCTGGGTAGAAATGCAGGGCTGAGCTGGGAGCGCAGGTATTCTCTGAATCACTGTGACCTCCTGATGTTAAAGGACGAGGAAAAAGTGAAGAAGACGAGAAATAATGTACGTGATGCATTGATCCAGTGCTGCTTTGAGTTACAGGATGAAAGAAGACTCTTCTGAGTGGAGACTGCAGTAAAAACCTGACCCGCGCTGTAAGAACAGACTCCTCACCTTCAAGTTTTAATGTAAGAACTTTATTTCAGTGTTTCCGCCTCCGATTCGCCCGGTTTGACTCTTTCCTTTTGAACAGGCGATAAATCCTCCCTGTTACGACTGCTGTGAGACGTTATAAATAAACAATGCTCTCACAAAGGTAATGCGTGCGTGTTGAACACTATCAATGACACAGAATGCCCCCGGAGATTCACTGAAATGTGGCACTTCACCAAGCGTGTGATACTGTAAAGGTGATGTGGCGACGTCTAATAATTCATTCAGAGAGGAACACGGGGCTTCAGGCAATAACTCCATCTCTCGGAAGCAGGTTATAATTATCAAATGTGTAAACAGACATAATGTACCTGCAGGCATGTCAAAATGTTCAATTAAGAATACAGAATATGGGTTTTACTGTACATGACGACATAGGCGGATTTTGCGGGGGGCAGGGGGGTCATTGCCCCCCCCTAGTGGCTGAAATATGTTACAGCATTACTACGTCAAAAACTGTTCCAATACAAATATTTTCGTATATCAATATTTTAATAAGGTAGGACACTCGTTAATAATATTGTAGCGTGTTCAAGTAACCAAGGGATATAGTAGTTATCAAATAAGTATAAGATGTGCACAGTTATGATAGGTTTTACAGTTATGTAATGCACTGTTGTTGGGGGGAGAGACCGCCCCTTCCATATGAGTGTACGGCGGGCATGGAAAAGTCATACTCAGTGCGGTGAGTGCTGGCTTTATTGCTACTGTATCCGTAGCACCCCATGCAATAGTTGGGACTGTGTACTGACGTCAGTAAAAAAAGGTTTGCCATGACGATGGCCTAAAGCAAAGCAAACTTTTGGTAACTTTGTACCTTACGTCAAAGCATGAGAAAGCCTTACTGCACACATTCATCCCCCATGACACATCCATGTAGGATTTTATGTTGAACTCTTGCCTGCAGGTTATAAGTTCGAGACGGTAGAGAGTAATTAAATATTAACCGTGACACAAGAAGAAAACCAAGCAAATAAATCATTTAAATACAGGACGCATATAGTAAAGTTCGGCTAATGCACGACACGGTTCCCTTCTGCACTTATGCAAACAAATCCGCAGAAATAAGACGCATGAAAAGCCTGAGTCTGAACCTAAAACTTGAGATAAAAACCCACACAGTGTTCAGAAAATTCTCTATCTGTTCCTCACTGAGTCTCAGTCTGTCACACACTGATGCAGAAAGATACACACAACTATCAAGAGGATTTGAACAAGATGGGGAAAGAGCGTCTTCCACCACGAGAGCGTTGATAAATCTATGAAGTGAAGTGAAGAAAAGAGCAAGAGGGGGAAATATGGAAATCTCACGGGATGACATTTATACTGGAGATGTCACGGCAGATATCAGTCGACATACACACACATTACACACACATTACACACACATTACACACACATTACACACTCACCTGTCAATGCTGATAGCACACAGGTTGAGGATACTGGCGGTGCACATCATCACATCCAGCGTGACAAAGACGTTACAGTAGAGCCGGCTGAAGAGCCAGGCCCCGCCGACCACCTGCAGGACAGACAGGCAGATTATCAACGCACATGTTTCTCTTGGACTTATTCAGCGTCGTGACACACCTACTGAGCGCACAGAAAAACACACCTGCACATGTGACAGAAAGGCAAGAAAGAAGGAAAACAGTTGGGCTATGATACAAGTGAGGGAAAAAGAAGATCAAGCTGCCAGAAATACATTCACCCCGATATATTACATTTAAAAGGGACATATTCTGCTGATATTCAGGTGTATATCAGTATTTAGTGTCTCTACTTTAAAGAGTCCTCTCCTGCTGATGTTCAGGTGTATATCAGTATGTAGTGTCTCTACTTTAAAGAGTCCTCTCCTGCTGATGTCCAGGTGTATATCAGTATGTAGTGTCTCTACTTTAAAGAGTCCTCTCCTGCTGATGTTCAGGTGTATATCAGTATGTAGTGTCTCTACTTTAAAGAGTCCTCTCCTTCTGATGTTCAGGTGTATATCAGTATGTAGTGTCCTTACTTTAAAGAGTCCTCTCCTGCTGATGTTCAGGTGTATATCAGTATGTAGTGTCTCTACTTTAAAGAGTCCTCTTAGCCTATCTCGTACAATGTGTTGGAGCGCTAGCCAATAGAAGCGCAAGTGTGATGTCGTGATGTCCCCTTGTTGTGGAAGTAAACAAAGGAGGTGTTTCATTTGAGCCTTTTACAGACCATTTACATGCACATCCATTATAACACACTACAGAAGAGGTTAAACCCCACAAAGCATACGAGGACCCCTCTAAAGATTAATGCTAATAGGGATTTTAATAAAGCTAATTTGTCTTTTCAATATCTTTGTCCCTTGTTCTTCTTGTCAAACGAGCTGCAAGTGTGTGGATGTTGTGTGATGGATAACCCACACATGTTGTTAAACCTAATTACCGTGAAAACATTTTCAATTTCCAGAAGACACTGACCCCCCCCCCCCCCCCCCCCCCTCCACAGTAAAGCGATAACACCTCTAACCCAGTGCAGTCCTGCTGAGGCCGACAGGCTTTCACTCAGGCTCCATAATGCCTGCTAATAACTGTCTGACAAAGATAAATTGGATCCAAGCTCCATCCCCTGACTGCTGATTCTCCTCAGCCCGAGAAGGGAATTAACGCCAACCTCCACAGGCAGGCGGCAGGCACACAAGGGAATTGGGAACACAATCACATGTACAGAGAGAAACACATATTTAGACTTCCGACTGTGGAAACATTCACTGTCAACTCTCCGAAGCCTAAACATTTTGTATTATATTTGTTTAAAACATCGCAAAAAACAATGAATAAATCACAAGCTTTGACGGACAAAAGAAAACAATCTATGGCTGTTAAAGAAATGGGAACATTGTCCTGTCTTTTCAAATGTTTCACAAAAAACAATCTCAACCCGCCTACAAACAATACACTTTTATATTAATCCACATTACTTTCATTGAATAGGCTCCGAGCGTCTGAAAAGCATACAGACGAAGGATTGGTTTATGAAAGTGCTTGCTATCGATCCATAATGCATGTCACAAAGGAAATAATGGAGCGTCAAAAAGTGAGACATCCTAAAGCGTCAAAAAGTGTGAGACATCCTACAGCCGTATTCTATGGAAATAAATCAAATAGACTGTACACAATGAGTTTGTAGTCTCACTATAAGGAAAATATTCTCTATTTGGAAGTCCAATGCATCTCCTCGTGAGGACATTTGGTCCTTTCAAGTATAGAGCACAAATACAAACAACACATTTACACTCGTTTTAACACGTTCACCCCCTCACACTAAAAGGCTGCGGCACACATGTGGGCACATATTGAACATTGTGTGCCGTGTGGGAATATGAGGGTGACTCACACTTCAGAACGACTGTGTTTAAGAAGCACTTAAGAGCGATGAATTTCTCGGTAAAAAGAGACAGCGGGAGCGCAGCTTGTTAAGAGACTGCAGCTGGAGAGGATCTGTCAGAGTGTTTACGCTGTTTTACATACAATTAAACTTGTATATTAATAATAAATCAGGGTTGGGCGGTACTTTAAACTGATTATGTTTTCTAGTTAGATGTAAAAAAATCTTAGCATCACAATATAAAAATAACCTGATTACTTTCTGTTACTTTTGGATAATATCAAATGCAATGTGTCCTCTGCTCAGAGATTTTGTGTATAGGAAAATCTTTATTATGTAATTATGTAATCTGTTACTCCCTAAACCTGCATATAATACTACTTTTTCGGATATAATCATGAAGGAGATGCAACTTTTTGAGCTATCTTTCTTCACAAAAGTTGGACCTTTGTGTCGCTTTATCTTAAATTCACTGTCAGATGAATATATAACAAAAATACGGATACATTTTGACCTGAAATAATCTCCAGACAACAAATGGAGATGCTGCTGTAGTCAGGAAACACATTTGCTCCTCAGGATGTATTGTTCAAAGTGAGCACTTAGTCATTACTGCCAATGCAACCACTTCCTTCAAGTACAAGTCATACATCAGCAGAACCATCCAGGGATAAGGTATAGCTTGCTCAAGGGCACATGATTAGTGCCTGCTGCAGGAATGGACAGGAGATACTCGGTCACTTTTACAGCACAATCACACCTGCAGAAGCCAACCAGCAACCCTGTGGTCACAACAAGCTAATCCCCATCCATCAGATTACAGCCTGCGGGCGGCGGTGCGTTCACTGCCAGTTTTGGGATTTGAAAGTCTTTGCCTTGGTCTCAAATGCTTTTTCCCAGATACATATTACTGACCTTTACATTCCTGCTAAATTATGAAATAGTGTACCTTTGTGTCATCTTCTCATGACTCATTCCTTATGGGATTTTAAACCCTTTGAATCTGAAACAAAAAACGCTGTAGCTGCATGACTGCCTGCAGAGACTCATGACTGATTCTTGGCGAGGTTCCCGGCTACCTTAATTCACCTTTCATAGGATATAATCATGTTTAATTTGTCAGATTCTGCTCACTGAGAATGTTAATTATTTTTTTTTTTAATGGTTGACCTGCTGCTGAATCTTCTGCTCACTGTCAGAAATAGAGCTTTTTGCTGACAGTGAGCAAACGTTGGGCAGCAGGGCGGCTGCTTGTTAAACATTACTTGACTTCAACCAGAGGATTTTCAGACGTCATGTGGGCAAACACCTGCCCTCGAGCAACTCACTCAGTTACCCCCCAAGATTAAAGGATGGCATTACACACCCACACACCCAATCATGGCCCCTCTGCAGTGTATCTTCCGCGTGCTGAATATTACTTTGATGAAATGCGGATGCTCAGAGTCACGTCTTCGGTACAAGTAATGGAGTTTCTGGAGAGAAGGATGTGAGCTGAGAAAATGAACAATTACCACTCGAGTATGAATCTTTAACGTGCAAATACGAATTAACAGCAAACATACATTTCAATTTGCCCCTTGCAGTTGCTTCAACATAATTTGAAGCGCAGCCAATTAACCAAAGACAATGAAGTTGTGTTAGTATTCAATATGTGCTATAGCAATTATGTTTAATCTACAATAATGACAAAACACAATCGTGACCACATTTTATCATCATTATCTTCTTCCCATCACCCACGCCCTTGTCACTAGATAATAAATTCCTAATGATCCTAATCTGTTGTGAATTTAGCTCAATTTTCTTGTTTTCTCTCCAACGTCGGCTACTCACTGCCAAGCATCTGAATATGAATCTCTTCCACAACCTCTCTGCTTTCTCTACTTTCTCACCCTGCTTCCCTTCAGTGATTCCCAAAAGCCAAGTGGATAAACCTCTTGAAATACATGCCGGAGTAAAGGTCTATATTATTAGCAGATATGAATGGATAAACAGCAGAAATAGCAAAAATGCTACACAAAGCTAAAAAGTCGATACTAGCTTAAAGCTAAAGGAATAACTGTTGAAATGGATAAACGTAATGAATTAAAAACGTTGTTAGTTGCAAAATCTTAAAGGTCCCATGACATGGCCATTTCTACTGATCAAAATTCCATTGTTGAGGTCTACTAGAATAGATTTACATTGTTCAATGTTCCAAAATCACATTGGTTTCTCATACAGCATCTCTGTATAGTATGTGTATTCACTCTCTGTCCTACACGGCTTGTTGGAGCTCCTGCCCCCCCCTTCCTTTGAGCCCACTGTGCTCTGATTGGTCAGCTCGCCCACTCTGTTCTGATGAGTCCACCACCGTGACAGCGGAACATCAGTGTTTATGTGTTACAATGGCGTTTGTTAGCAACCAGAAAATGACCCCAGTAATGACAAACAGATGGGAATGCTGCGTGGGGTCTGGGTGCCGTGTTGGCGGGACGTTGCGGGGCTCGCTGCTGTGAGGAGCTGGATTACTGGTGTAGTTTCCTGGTTGCTGGGTGGGGTCTGCGAGACAGCGAGACACGCGGAACTAAGCCTGAGCACATACACACACTCTGAGCCGCGGCTGAGAAAAGATAAGGCTGAGTGAGTGTGTGTGTGTGAGGAGCGGACCAATCCGCGGAGCCGTTACGTCACTACGACCAGGAAGAAAAAAATGGAAAAAGAAAAATCTCCAACGAGGCGTTCTGGGGCAGCATAGACAGGTATTTTCTGTGTTAGAGTTTTACTCGCTACAGGGTGTACTTTGAGGGGTTGTGACTTTGCAGACCGTTTACATGCATAAAAAGCTACATAACACAAGGGGACGGGTAATAACCAGAAAAGCATGACATGGGACCTTTAAACAAAAGTAATAGATGTTAGCTATGAGGAGGAAACATGGTTGAAACATTGCTAATAGTATTTTGGATTAGCTCTATTCAGGCTAGGGGCTCGTGGTCTAAAAAGCAAAGGAAGAACTGAGGGAAATAGCTGCATGCTGTAACTTATGATCCAGAACTGTTTGTTTTAAATGTTAAATGACATGTTAGAGAAAAAGCACACTGCCTAATCCATAAAAAGATCCTTATCAACAATCTGAAACAACCAACAATTATGTGTCAGCACTATTTTAAGTGCTGAGGTCTGAGACAAAAACAGAGTCAACAAACTGAAGTGCTTTAGTGCTTGTTCAACAGAGGGAGATATAGACAGGACCGAGGTCGACCTGGGCATTATCACTAAGTTAGGGCAATGGGAAAACTGTAAGATGTAGGAAACCTGAGGCAATGAGACACTGAAAACACACAACATACAGACCCCCTGACCTCCTCACATCCAGGTGCACGGCCCAGGGCATCACCAGGGAGTTAACTTATTTAGAGCACTTCTTTGCCACATTTTGCCAAATCCCTGATATTTATAGTAAGCTAAACAAAACCCGCGTGACCCACAGGTCAACCCGGGTCGACCTGGGCATCATCACTAAGTTAGGGCAATGGGAAAACTGAGACAATGAGACACTGAAAACCACTCAACATTCAGACCCCCTAAGCTCCTCACCTCCAGGTATACGGCCCAGGGCATCACCAGCGAGGCCACCAGCAGGTCGGCCACAGCCAGGCTGACCACCAGGTAGTTGGTGGTGGTCTGCAGGGAGCGCTCCCTCACCACGGCTATACACACCAGTACGTTTCCAAACACGATGGCCAGGATGAGCAGGGAGTAGAGCATGGCGTAGTAGTTACGCTCATCCTGCTCTGACGCCTCTGAGCTCTCGTTCCTCTCCGAGTCCCACCACAGGCGGTCCGTTTCGTTCCAGACCCGCTCTGCACTGCTAAACATCGCCATGGAGACGTCCCGGTGACATGGGAGATGAGATGTTCGGCAGACCTACCAAAGGGAGAGAGCAGAGATTAGTGTTTATCCATTCATCACACAACCTACCCTCTATCGGTTCCTCTCACATCTCTTTAGATCACTAATAACCATTAATTAAAAGTTGATAATAAAAAATAACTTATTTACATAACAAGCTTGAAATATACCCTTCCTATTTCCTCTTATTATAATCAATCTGAGGCTCATGTTTTAAGGAATGACCTGCCAACAAGATAAATGAAACCCTCTGGAGAGCTGGGATGTAGGCTGTTTGTTTTCATAAAGCATATTCAAGTAACAAGCATAATTTATACATTTGATTGATTTTGCTGACTTATAACTTAACTTATTGAGGCAATATACCTCTAGTGAGTGGCCCAGCCCTCCGTATATTTTTATGTATGTGGCCCTCGGAGAAAAAGGTTTGGACACCCCTGCTTTAGTTTAAAGGGAAACACATTTGCCATCAATGCAAGGCAAGTTTATTCATATAGCACCTTTCAACACGAGGCAATTCAAAGTGCAAAAACAGCATTTAGAGCATTAGGAAATAGTGCAGCTGAGATGTGAAACGTTCAATTAAAAGCAGCGGCAGAGAGAAAAGTCTTCAGCCTGGATCTGTTAGTAAGAGTTGCAGCGGACACAAAGGATTCTGTTAGTTTGTTCAAGAAATATGGAGCATAATAACTGAACGCTGCTTCTCCATGTTTAGTTCTGACTGAAAGCAGACCCGTCCCAGAAGACCTGAGAGTTCTGGATGGTTCATATAGAGATCAGAAATGTATTTGGCCCTAAACCATTCAGAGGTTGGCGGCAGCATCATTTCAGGTCGAAGGCCCGCTGGGGAACATCTCTAGGCTCCTTTAGTAACATTAGTCAGATAGACTAATGCATAAAACAGCTGAAAAGCATCCCTGCAGGGGTGTTCCTTGCAGTATACACTTGCTCAAGTGCTTTTCCCCCCCCTGCTGATTGAGAAATGAAGCAAATATCGATGCCTCCTGAAGCTCCTTGGATTCTACAGATAAGGAACTCGATAAAAGACTCAGCAGAGATGAATGCTCTTAACAGCAAACTTCCTCAGCGCCATTCAGTCAGCCTCTCAGATGTAGAGTGTTCCTTCCTGACTTCTAATACAGCAAACTCCAAAAGCAGAGATGGTAACTTTAATGAGGGGCTGGCAGTTTGCCTTTGAGCAGTGTCAGGGAGGTTTGCTCATGAGGGAGTGGTATTAAGCCCAGTCTAGGAGGTCTGGTTGGCTGCCATCCCGGCTCTGCTCCTCGCAATCCATCCTCCCTGGCCTGAATCCACATATCATTGCTGTTAGTGCTCACACCTGTGTCTGCATGTTCAACAAACTGATCCATCTCATGCAGTCTCTCTTCCTGCGACAGAAATGAAGAGGAAGAAGCTGAGATCATTTTTAGACCTGGCTCGAACCCAGTAAGGCTTTTTAAAGATTTTCTCAGTCTGTTACTCCACTCAATGACTCCAGTGTCATTATCAACAAGAGAGGAAGCAGAAACAGCCACCGATACCCATCCTATTGAAGCCTCCGGATAGGAGTGAGTTCATCAAATTGAGGTGTGACAGGTCACCAGGATGGCAAATCATAAAACCACAAACACATTCATTTACATCCAGCGGCACTTGTTATGTGACACAAAGCTATACCGAGTGCTCCAGTGAATGGTTTGTTTGTATATTGTAACTCAAGTGGAAATTGAAACTGATTCCCCTTGTCTGAATGGACCCTCAATTGCAAGCGTGTGTGTGTGTGTGTGTGTGTGTGTTCTGCAGCCATAGAAATTGGAAGGAGGTTGTTAGTGTATTCAAGATGTAACTATAATGATATCAATATTAGGCTTATAATGAATGTAGCATCAAGCAAATCAATTTACTCAGGTCTTTGCAGCCTAGATCAATCATTTGGTATTTTATCTCTTCCAAAATTGCAATGCCAAGGAAGATTAATTTGCGCAAATCTAACCCTAATCATTAAATTCAATGAAATGCCCGAGATAGAGCCCCTTATCAGGCTCAATTATCACGCCTCGAGATCAAACACAGTCCAGTAACAGAGGGATAATTGCAATGATCACCTTTCAGAGCGCACACACAATACAAAAAAGCAAAAAAAATCGGCAGATAAGAATTTCATTTAAAAAACAGTAACAAGAAAACTTCACACAGGCTTTTAAGGTGGATTTAGTGTGTGTAAAGTAAACAGTCTTACATACCTGTTACTGTTTCCCAGTTGAGAATTCATCAGATGCCATCGAGAAAAAGCATCCTCCAGGCAGAGGGGAAAGTTATCCGGTTATCGCGCCCAGCCCCGCGCGGGAGGAGCGCTCGTGCCATTGCGCACAGCGGTCTGTGAATGTGGGAAGCTCCAAATGAACCACTGACTATCTACATTCGCACCAACCCTGTGTGGCTGTGTGGCTGTGTGGCTGTGTGAATGTCGGTAACACGTGTTGAGCGTTTTATTTTTTGTACACTTTTTTTGCAGGCTCATGACGCGAGAGGCACGCGTAATTGTGGAGACGTCAGGTGTCTCCCTTTTAGATGCGCGTTTAGGGCCGCAGTGGCAAATGAAGGTGACTTATTATTACAACCCAAAGAACAGTTCAATGCCAACGTTGTTTTTTTCACGTAAATTAACATTTTCTATGATACAACAAATAAGAATATGTCTGAATGTGTTTCAGTCCTGCCCCACGGCTGAAGTCCTTAACCTGACCCTGAACCAGTCTGGGTTGCTGGAAGTGACATCATAACACAGGATCAGTATAACCTACAGAGCTTAAAAGGAGGTCAGGCTAGTCTATGCATATAATTATCTATACTGGTATCCCACACAACCCCTTTTTACACAAGAAAAAACACAAAAGCCCACTGCAGATAAGAAGTACATACAGCAAATATCACAATCCCAGCCACTGTGTTCTGTTCCTCTATCTCCAACATGGCATTTTAAGATAAGAGCGAAACCCCCTGCAGGAGCTGAGCACACTTCAATGGGAAGTGTTTGAGTGCAAAGAGTCCAATTTATTCATCAACATCAGAGACAATTCTATAGACCTTTGTGTTCTTACATTATCCATCATTAGGGTGGCAAATGAAAACCACATGTTTCCAGATATTGCTATTTTTAACCAATGCACTCACTGTGCCTCCCATGAAGTGCATCTTTTAAAAAGGCCGTGAGCAGCAGGAGGGTGATGATCTGTTCGACGTCGCTGCAGCAGCTGACAAACAGCCCTAACGGATAATTTGTCTCACTACCAAGCTGAAGTCGGTTTGTGCTTTAACTTACGCTAAAGTGTCCAGATGTCCTTGGAAATGTCAGCCATCCTTCTTCTCCACAGCTGCACGCAGGTTAATATCTCCTGTGAGCAGCAGCTGCAGCGAGGAGAATCCTAATACACACTGCAGCTGGCGTGAATCCATACATTAGAAACTTGTCAGAAGTGATGGTGTGTGACATGCATGCCGACTTGTGACTTAAGATACAGCGGTGTCTTCACTCATTCAACATCTAATAAATCCAGACGTCACTTGCTTTCCATTTACGCCTGTTTTCGTGCAACACTCAGGAAATCAATCTGTCTCTCCCACATGAACGGCTGCTCCTGGAAGTGTGTAATTTTATTTTAGGAGGCTGTGTGATTCATGTGTTAAACAAAACAAATGTGTTTTTAAATAGTCCCAGCTTCTTTTTCATGGTTACTGAGAGAATGAACTCCCTCCATGGAGAGACTTAACAGATCATTGATTCCTCCACACACACACACCTGCTGTAATGTTGGTGTTTTGCAAATAGCCCCGATGAGATTGAGTGGGGTGAAGGAGAAGTGGACCTGCCCCCCCTCTGACCGGTCACCTCTGATCCCGGTGCAGATTGGGATCCTGACAGCTCACAGGATGCATGGCTTTAGTGAAGGTCAGGCCTGAGAGGGCACAGCTACACTAATGACAGAAGGACAGTGGGTGGAATAATGGGGATAAACATGTGGGTGAAATGTTGCTGCTACCTACTGGCCAAGGGATGTAACTGCTTATAACCTGTACTACAACTCATGCAAATACAGGTTGTTGAGTTTGTATGTAGGAGTATGTTCACAATGTAACGTGACAGTATTCAAATCAGTCCGTTTTCACATTAAATACTTCAATTATGAGTGTGCATAGAAGAACTGGTTAAAGGAATACTTTACCCCCGAAATGAGAATTTGTATTTCATTTACTCACCCCTTTTTATCTTGAGTTCTTGAAGGAAACTTTGTTTGATTAAATGGAAGTAAATGGGGGCAGCATTTAACAACAGCAAGTAATAATAATAATACCACTTTTTTTAAGTTTGTGAAAGTTATCCAAATATAATTTATCCAATCGGGGATCAAGGATTTTGGTCTTTCGACATAGTGGAAAAACTGTAAGAAATTAGCTTCTAGAGCAGAATTAGGACAAACTACGACAAATATGTACAAAGACAGAAAGTTAAAATGTGTATATAATTTAATCAACATCAAGCACCTTCACAGTTATTGTCATGGAATAAAAAGGTTACACAGCTCATGCAAAACATTAGATATTAAAAGTTTCAATTCAGTGTCTATAAAGATGTAACATGGCAGATAAGTCAGTTTTTAAAGTGGCATTTACCTACAATGTAGCAGTTCATATGTATGTAACTTATACAGACGTTTATTATATTCTGTATTATCTGTATTCAAAAGATGTCACTCAGCGTGGGTTCAGTTTCCTTCTTGCTCGGCCCACTCACTGTATCCTCCTTTATAATGTCTGGACCTGGGAAGAAGAAGCATGAAGAGAAGCGCTTAGCCTCTGATCACTGATGTTGCTGTTTCTACTAAAAAAGGTCATGCAGCGTTCAACAAACCAAAGCAGGGTATGAGAACATTGCACTCTAATATGCAGCAGGACTGATTCATAATTGAATATATGTGCCATTAACAGTATAGCGCTCCGATGAAGCACATTATGTGGTTGACATTTTCCTACATGATTGCAATCTGAGTCACTTTCCTTTTTTGCTCTTTAGGTAATAACTCTTGCCCTTTAAAAGGTGACTACAGGTGCATACTGTGTCCTTTACCTGCTGAATCCCAGCCGGCGGGCGATGTCCAGCGCCTTGGAGCTCCTGCTGCCACTTTTGCAGTGAAACACGATGTTGTCGTCATCTTTCCCAGGAGGCTTTATGTCAAATGTCTGCTGAAACTGCTCCGAGGACAGCTTCAGGGACTCCTCCAGGTTGCCCACTGATATCCAAACAAGATGAGAGTTACAAAAAACATAGACAGGCCCCTTTCATCCCAGATGTGTTAACACTTACATGGGATGTTGACGGAGTCTGAAATGCATCCAGCCTGGTATTCATCAGGATTTCTCACATCAAACAGCTGGATGTTTCCGCTGGACAGCATGGTCTTCAGCTGAGAGTAGGTCACCACAGAAGCTGAGGGGGAAACATGACAGATTACACTTTATTATACAGGAAAATACACATTTTTACCAATTTAATGCATGCTCCTGCTGCCTGTAAAAGCCTACACTCTTACCCTCCATTGGTTTATCCGAGCTGGTCACTGCTGTAAGGATAAACTACTAGACCTGTTCCCTACCACTGACAGACCTTTGTTGTGCACTTGAAACAAAATGCCAGAGTCAACCAAACTCTGTGTTTGAGACAACTAACAGAACACACTGCAGTCCATTCAGAGTCACAATGCTGGCAGGAGGCATAGGCAGCCCCTGATAATGCCTTCAAAACATTATTCTTACAGTGTAAAGTACTCAAACAGCATTCAAGGTTACATTTAATTACAATAGATTGAGAGACACTGTCACAAAGGCAAAGAGGAATATTAAAGGTGTTCCTGTTGGACCTGTTAGGTTAAAACCTGAGTGTTTGAGCATGTTTACCATTTTCGGATGCGTCTCCAAAGGTGGGACTGGAGGTTGAGAAAGCCCGTAAAACAGAGCCAAATGTCGGGTAAGAGCTGCGGTTTACTTCCGCAACAACCTGGCAGAAACTTCGAGACAGCAGGTAGGAGAGCATGGTGAAGACAAGTGTCCCCTGCAGACTGCTGGGGAGAGGAAACATGACGCAGATTACAGAGGCCTTCTTCTTCTTCTATTAAATGTTCCACAATAAACTTGCATTGGACGCCATCTTCAGACGGGAAAGGCTAATTACAAACACATTGAACAATTATTCCAATACAATCAGAAAAGGGCACATAAACATCAATGTTCAGTACATTAATTCAAAAACTGAGGGCATTATGAATATAAAACAGAAAAAAAGGTCACGTGCGCAATTGTTGTATTTTTTTTACTCTTGCACAATTTAATATTTATTTTTGTATAATTACATTTTATTTAGAAAAAGCAATAAATACTGGGAACGTTTTTGAAAGGCCACATTTGTGTAAGAAATATTTTGCTGAAAGAAAGTCACATTTTCTTTTTGAAGTTTTACGTTTAGAGACCATAATTCCGTGGTAATCCCACATTATACTGCTTTTCATTTTAGCATGAACACAATGTCTGCATGTTTTCACAAAGTACACAAACGCATGCATACATTATAAGAAATGAATGGATGTATGGATAAAGGATGAATCATCACCTCTGGCATGTTGAGTGATGTATAGCCTATAGTCAAAATGTGTGTTGAGAAAGAGGAATGGAACATCTATTTATAGTCCTAGAAACTTCAATTATTCATCCACTGTCAAGAAAACCAGTTTCTTTTAAACTGATTTAATCATGGAACAAACCAGTCTTTTGCATTGTTATGGGGGTTGTTCTATCTGCTCCACAGCAACATAACTGGAAACAGGAAGTAAATAGAAGAAGAAAAAAAGCTCAGCTGCTTTGCAAGTTGTTTGACTCATTTTGTATCTTCAAAACTCGTGATTGAAATGACTTTTTTCCACTCAAACTTGCAGGTTTTTGTCTGGTCACCAGCAGTGTTTTTTTTAAACATATTTTAGTCAGCTGTCACCATGCAAACAAAGCCCCGCCTCGGACTGAACCATATCATCTGTATAGAGGGGAACACAGAGAAAAGCCATACTAACATATATATTGAAAAACTTCCTAATGGTTGTAAAAACGATGGATTGTTGAAAATAAAAGCAACTACCGAGTGGATACACTGAGAATCGTTATTGGCTGTTTTATTCGATTTGTGACATTTTTTTAAAGCAAACATCCCTACGTCAGTGGTATGATCCAAACAACAGAGTCACATGATTCCCTGACTCAGTCTGGAGGAACGTCTTACTGACAGCAATAAAAACAGGTCGTTTAGTTCGTTTTGTAGCTGATATTTCGACACTAAGACGGTCACAAGATGTCGTGTGGAAAGGGAATGATGTGTGGAGGGGTTTCTGATGTTCCAACTGAGGCCGACGAAAAAATCCAGACGATCTGTGATGGGGTAAGTAGAAACATAAACAAAGAAAGGGCCTATTGTTATTATTATTTCACATTGATTTGAGCTTCATTTTAATTCTGCTGCCTTTTCATCTCCCTCAGGTAAAGGCCGCTGCTGAGGAGAAAACAGGCAAGAAATATGAGGTTTTCAAAGCCAAGAGCTACACCTCTCAGGTTGTGGCTGGGACCAACTACTTCATCAAGGTAATTATCATTTACGAAGAAAACATTATTGCCCGGAAACCACTTTTACTTCGTAGCAAAAATCAAGTGAGATTAAAGCGATCATAAACAGAGGTGGGAGAAGTACTCAGATCTTGTACTTAAGGGAAAGTGGAAGTACCAGAGTGTAGGAATACTCTGTTACACTAAAAGTCCTGCATCAAAATGTACAAAAGTATTATCATCAAAATATAGTTAAAGTAGCGACAGTGAAAGTAGTCATTGTGCAGATTGGTCCATTTCAGAATAATATATATGATATGTTTTATAATGATTGATCATGAAAGTGTTCTCAAAGCTGGTAAAGGTGCAGCTAGTTTGAATGACTTTGTATACTGCAGGGTAACTTGTGAATTTACTCCAGGTGGAACTAAAGTCTGATTTAACACTTGATTATATTTCACATCATTCATCCACATCTGTAAAGTAACTAAAGGTATTAAATACATGTAGTGGAGTAAAAGTACACCATTAACCTCTGAATTGTAGTGGAGTAGAAGTACAAAGTAGCATAACATGGAAATACTCAAGGAATGTACCTCACAATTGTACTTGAGTACAGTACTTGAGTAAATGTACTTAGTCAGTCAATCTTTGATTTAGACGGTTTAGCTGTGAGTTTCTCCAACCTACGAGATAGAAAGAGATGAATATCAGGGTTGTTTTACAGCTGGTTCTTGTGCCTCCTATTTGCCAAGATCTCATAACGCTCTACTTTTACTTTCTTGCAGGTCCATGTTGGAGAAGAGGATCACGTTCACCTGCGTGTTTGGGCAAAGCTCCCACATCAGGGATCAGGGACAGAACTGAGTGCCATTCAGCAATCAAAGAGCCACAGCGACCCTATTGAGTACTTCTAATAAGATCCTAAATAAAACAACGCATCAGTGCCTACGGCTGCTCTTATCACAGCTATAATCAAATAATCCTGGCTTAGTCTATAAAACAATGCCGTTCCCATTCCTCACTTTTTTTAATTTTACAGAATAATACTGTATTAATCAGGATTACATGGAACTATTTTGTATAAAGTGAATTAATAAATGAACCAGATTCTTTTCTGAAATATCAAGTGTTGTCTTTCTTTCTGTGGGATCTGAATTGTGAAATCGCTGCGGGGTTTAAGGTGTGAGTCTACAACTCTCAGGTATTGTGAATAAAAAAGGGTGGGGCAATGAAAACAAACCGCAGTCCATTCGTTACTGGATGATCTACCTTTTGAAGCCGCAGTTTGTTTGAAGTATAATTAAAATGATTTCTATGTAAACTGTAATCATTCCCACTGAACACAGAACAGTCTGTTCATGTTTATCATTTTAAATCTGTTTGACAAACATCAGATTTATTCACTTACTGTGTGTCCTGATTTTGCATTTATACTTTAAGAAGATTGCCTTTTTATTGGGATGTACTGCCAGTATAATGGTGTCAGTGTACACTGTGTATTATTTACTCCTAAAGTCCTCATCTCAAAGTTTACTGAAAGTAGGATAAGCAGAAACAGTTGACACTATCACAGGATTTGGAAAACAGTGCGTGGCAAAAGTTAAAAACTGGCACTTTGACTCATCAATAAGTGTTTGACCTCTGTACCTACTGCTGTATACGGAAACATCACTTCTAATATATCAAAAAGGTTTATAGGTTTTCAAATGGTTCTCATGAGGGTTCTTACAACCACAAACGCCATTGGACTCCTTTGTTTACTTCCGGAACATAGTGACATCACTATGAAATACTCACACTCCTATTGGCTAGCGCTCCAACACATTGTATCTAAGGGGCGGGACATCTCTAAGCGGTTGACCAATCACAACAGAGCCGGCCAGCTAACCAATCAGAGCAGACCGGGCTCACACCTGAACATCAGCAGGAGAGGACTCTTTAAAATAGAGACACTACATACTGATATACACCTGAACATCAGCAGGAGAGGACTCTTTAAAGTAGAGACACTACATACTGATATACACCTGAACATCAGCAGGAGAGGACTCTTTAAAGTAGATACACTACATACTGATATACACCTGAACATCAGCAGGAGAGGACTCTTTAAAGTAGAGACACTACATACTGATATACACCTGAACATCAGCAGGAGAGGACTCTTTAAAGTAGAGACACTACATACTGATATACACCTGAACATCAGCAGGAGAGGACTCTTTAAAGTAGATACACTACATACTGATATACACCTGAACATCAGCAGGAGAGGACTCTTTAAAGTAGAGACACTACATACTGATATACACCTGAACATCAGCAGGAGAGGACTCTTTAAAGTAGAGACACTCCATACTGATATACACCTGAACATCAGCAGGAGAGGACTCTTTAAAGTAGAGACACTACATACTGATATACACCTGAACATCAGCAGGAGAGGACTCTTTAAAGTAGAGACACTACATACTGATATACACCTGAACATCAGCAGGAGAGGACTCTTTAAAGTAGAGACACTACATACTGATATACACCTGAACATCAGCAGGAGAGGACTCTTTAAAGTAGAGACACTACATACTGATATGCACCTGAACATCAGCAGGAGAGGACTCTTTAAAGTAGAGACACTTCACACTGATATGAACCGAATGAGCAGAATAGGGACCCTTTAAAGTAAAAGTATTGCAGGGTCAAACGCTATTGATATATACACAATTTCAGGAACAGACACCATGTGATTAAGAGGAACAGCAGTCACAAGATGAAACTAACACGGAGGATTGAGGTGTAAAGTCCAGGGAGTAACAAATACAACACAAATGTTGCCTCATCAATTCTTCTGTTTTAAGTGGAAGGATTAGTTAATGTTTAGCATAATTTAAACACTTAAATCAACTTCACAATCTGATCCCAGACTTCAATTATTTAATTTAAGTTATTTAATTAGGAATAGTTTCATTGTTCTGTTTAAATAACCGTCATAGATAATAGAGGAACAAAGTGGCAGAGACAGTCATGAGAAATAACCTACATCAATGGTCTTTATTAAAGAGGCTGATAGAAGTAATACATAGTTTGCTATAAATGCATTTCAATGATGTTATCAAAAAAATAGTACTGAAAAAAATGTGGTGTCAAGTTGTTTCTTTTTTTGTAGAGAGGTTCATACATCACAACATGTTATTCATTTGTTTCAAGTTTTCTATTATAGTTTCTATTTGTTCAGATTTGATGTTTGTAATTAAGATAATGCTAGTGTAGATTTGTTTCTAACACAAAAAACCATTGATGTTGAAATCAATCAAACATACCTTGCATATGTCTGCAGGGTGTGGAGGAACACTCCTCTGTGGAGATCAGGGAGTGAACACATCTTGCAAAAAAGGCAAACTGAGTGAGGAAATTGCACGACCTGCACGTGACCCCCGACCCCTTTAAACAAGCAGGAGGTCATCCTTTAAGCAACACACATTTACTGTAAGTCATATCTTTCCAAATGTCAAACTGTTGTTCATTGAAACCCACAAGCAGCGGCCCTGACCTATTTGCTGCTCTACGCAATATCTTTGCTGATCCAGGAGGATTAGCAGTGATGACACACACTCACAGCTGCTGGTGTTTGGAGCCCTCTAACGTCAGAAACAGGACTCACTTTGGTCTGCTCCTTTCTGAGCTGTCTAAAAGTTTATGTAAAATTCAATACAATAACTTTCCCAGAGTCTCTCTACCACTCTGCTCCTTTCTGAGCTGTCAGGTTTTCCCTGTCTTTTGCTCTCTCTTCACGCTGTTGTCCCACCACCTCAGATGTTTGGGCCATTTTTTTCCCGGCAGTCTCTGTCAAACCATGTTGATGAGGTCAAACCAGCCATAACAACAAATCCGGCCAGGTGCCTAAGGAAAGGGGGTCAATGTCCCTTCATGCTGATTTAATACACATCTGTTTAGGATGTATGTACTCTACTTTCTTCCCGACTAAAGAACAGTTTTTTCCACCAGGCTGTCAGGAGGCTGAACTCTCTATAAAGTTGACTTTGACTTCCCTGGAGAAGGAAATGCATTTGTTTGTGTATAAATACTTATGAGTTATCAAATGGGTGTTGAGCGTACAGAATCAAATGGAATGAGGAAACACACCAACAGTGACTGAAGACCTCTGTCTAATGTGAGCTGAAGATATTTAGTGTTAGAAAGCAGAAAAAAAGAATCTCCATGTATTTGTTGTGGCTCTTATGTTGCATTTGCTTTTATTGATTTAAGATTTCTAAAAGAAGTGTCGTCAGTTGACTTTGACTTCCCTGGAAAGGCATTTCTCAAATGTTATCTCAAAGTGGGAGTTATCAAACAATGGGGAGCATACTCAAATGGAACGAGGAAACACAATCAAATACAAAGGGGCTTGACCACACTTTAAACATAGGCATTATAACAGAACAAAGACAAAAGAAAACACCCCCAAAAAACTGCAAAAGTAAAGACTTTGCACCCTGGAGAAGGAAGTGCATTTCATAAATGTTTTTTCAAAGCCTTCACAAGAATCTAGATAATCTAATCATAAATTAACAGAACTCAGCAGGATCATGTGAGGGTTGTGGATACACCTGCAGCTCCACCCCGCATGAGGGAGTATCCAGGTGTGGGCTCTCTGTATAAATACAAGCATGCATTTGGTAAAAAGTCAAAACACTTGAGACCCTTGACAGTTGACTAACTTCTCTTAGTGACAATGGCAGATAAAGCTATGTTAGGAGGATGGGGCGAGACAGTGGACGCTACTGAGGAAACTCAGAAGATTTGTGATGCGGTGAGTTCTCAATCTACGTTCATTCTTCACAAGCTCCACAGACTACCCTCTGGTCTGGCCTAATGATACATTTGTACTTCATTTTTACACAGGTGAAGGGTCAAGTGGAGAAAGAAACCGGCAAAAAGTATGCGGTGTACAAGGCAGTGCATTTCAAGAAACAACTTGTGGAAGGACAAAACCTCAGCATAAAGGTAAGGAATATTGTGATTTATGAAGAAAAAAGCATGAAAGCCTCAGATAGTGTGTTTGTCTTTATATCATATACAAGAATAATCTATTAACCAAATGGATTTTGGGGGGGGGGGGGGGGGGCGTACAGACAGAAACTCCCTCTGGAGGGAAGACAGGGATTTTAGCCTTTGCAGACTACATGCACTAAAACCTATAGAACACACAGGAAAGAGACACAAACCCAAACAGCAGAACAGGGCTCTTTAAATCTAATGCCAGGTCCAATTCATTGCAGGACAGTTTACTGCAGTTTGACAGAAGATTCACATTTATCAGATTTATATTTTCAGATGTGACATTTTCCCTTTCTTTCCTGCAGGTCTTTGTTGGAGAGGAGGACTACATTCATCAGAGGGTTGTCTGTCCACTTCCTGGTAAAGGAGGAAAGGTTCAGCTGGACCACGTTGAAGTGGGAAAAACCAAAGACGACATCGTCTGCATGTGTTAACGTTGACATGACCTTTTCAACAGTGTAATACTTAAAGGCAGCAGTCTGATATTAAAATGCTCTTCTTCTTTATCCTGAAATGATTAAACAATGATTTTGAATCTGTCTCACAGAGATACAGATATTTGGTGTTGGCTAGCAGCAAGTTGAACGCATTCCTTTTAAATAAATAATAAAGAAAGCATTACAAATCTCAAAATATGTCCTCTGGTTCTTGTGTGTAGCGTTTGATTTTCTTTAGTGAAGTCTGATTTCTAAAATAGTTGTAATCTTGGCTGGAATAAATCATTATAAATGATAAAAAGGTAACCCTTTAGTTTTTACGCATCTTAAAACAGATACAGATACTCATGTTGAGCTTTGATTACAAAAACCAGGAAACATGTTTCACTCTCAGTTACTTGATAAGTGCCTCTAAGGAGGAAAACAGGTTTCACACATTGTTCAGATATAAGAAAGTGACTGCTAACTTTCCTGAGTGAAGCCAAAGATAATGACAGAGGTGTAAACATATAACATCACTGATTAAATAGTGGTTACCTTCAGACTTCTGTCACTGACAACATCGTCCACGTTCAGCTCTGATTGCACACACTTTACCTGGAGACAAGGAAGGACAAATAAATCAAATGTTGATGACTGACTAGTTGTTTAAGTATGGAATATATTACATTTACTATTGCCTAAAAAACAGCTTGTATAACTCCACTCCACACACAAAGATATCACCTGTGAAGATGTATCATATTCTGTTACCACACTACTACAATAGAGAAGAGAAAGAACAAATAAATACAAATAATAATAATAAAAGAACAAACTGTTGTTTGTTATTGATTATTTTTAATTTAATATAAAACTATGTATAAGAAAATACTTTTACCCTGGAGAAAGAAGTGCATTTCATACATTTATTTGTATTTTTGCCTGAACAACAATTTGGAAATGATTTATTCAGAAATGAACCAAACTCACCTGGATCATGAGAGGGTTTTGGATTCACCTGCAGCTCCAGAGGCTTTACTTGAGCACCAAAACATTATTGTCAAAATACTTCATTACAAGTAGAAAGTCCTGCATTCAAATGTTACTTTGACAAAAATAAGAAAGGGTTATCAGCCAAATGTATTTAAAGTATAAAAGGTCAAAGTAATCATTGTGCAGAAAAATGTCCTTTATATGTATATCATTATAATCTTTTGTGACTCAAAGAGTTAGTCTACTAGTTAGATTTGTAGAGATGCATTTTGCAGCTAAAGTTGTTAAATAAATGTTGTGGAGTAAAATCACATTATTTGTACCTGATACCCTGTTTGAAAAGTGCAATACTTAATGGTTGCATTCTCATATTAAAATCTGTCTAAAAGTTTATGTAAAATGTAATCTGTAAAATCTTTTTTCTCCTGAGTTTCTCAGATATCCCTGTATTTCAGCCCCGTTAGAGCCTTCATGCTGATTTAATACACATCTGTTTAGGTTTGTGTCTGAATATTGCAAGGGTGTCACAGTGACAATATCTGTCCTTAGACATACAGAAACACATGCACGCACGCACGCACGGAAGGGAACTGCATTTATGCTACTTTCAGGAGAGGGCACTGTGCCAGGCACGAGCAGTTCAGAGCTTAGCACGTGACAGGAGAAAACAGACAGTCAGTGTAGTGTAGGGCCTGGATGACCTTGGGAAGAACACTGGACCTGGGCGAAGCCAAGAGACGTGGGCTCGCCTGTACTCCAATCAACAGCACCTCACTCAGAAATACATCCAATCATAATATGACACCTTTATTCTGTAATAAGTATATGAAATGTGTTTTGCCAGTTTCCGGGGCTCTGGAAGGAAGTGTCAGACAGTTAACTGCTTGGAGGGGAAACTGCTCGCGGCCTGTGGAACACGGATCTCCAGAAACCTCAGCTGAGCATTTGTATTCCTTATCACTTCCCTGGAGAAGGAAATGTATTTGATGTGAGGATGCTCAGAGAGGAAGTTAAGTGTTTTATTTGGATAACACATATTTTAAGTAAAGCAACATAAAACTCCATACTTGTGGAGTTGTTGATACTGATTATCATAATAATAATATAAAAAAACAGTGATTTATTATTGATTATTTTGAATAAATATAAAACTATGTAAACTGCATAAGTAAAGACTTTGCACCCTGGAGAAGGAAGTGCATATCATAAATGTTTTTTCAAAGCCTTCACAAGAATCTAGATAATCTAATCATAAATTAACAGAACTCAGCAGGATCATGTGAGGGTTGTGGATACACCTGCAGCTCCACCCAGCATGAGGGAGAATCCAGGTGTGGGCTCTCTGTATAAATACAAGCATGCATTTGATAAAAAGTCAAAACACTTGAGACACTTGACAGTTGACTAACTTCTCTTAGTGACAATGGCAGATAAAGCTATGTTAGGAGGATGGGGCGAGACAGTGGACGCTACTGAGGAAACTCAGAAGATTTGTGATGCGGTGAGTTCTCAATCTACGTTCATTCTTCACAAGCTCCACAGACTACCCTCTGGTCTGGCCTAATGATACATTTGTACTTCATTTTTACACAGGTGAAGGGTCAAGTGGAGAAAGAAACCGGCAAAAAGTATGCGGTGTACAAGGCAGTGCATTTCAAGAAACAACTTGTGGAAGGACAAAACCTCAGCATAAAGGTAAGGAATATTGTGATTTATGAAGAAAAAAGCATGAAAGCCTCAGATAGCGTGTTTGTCTTTATATCATATACAAGAATAATCTATTAACCAAATGGATTTTGGGGGGGGGGGGGCGTACGGACAGAAACTCCCTCTGGAGGGAAGACAGGGATTTTAGCCTTTGCAGACTACATGCACTAAAACCTATAGAACACACAGGAAAGAGACACAAACCCAAACAGCAGAATAGGGCTCTTTAAATCTAATGCCAGGTCCAATTCATTGCAGGACAGTTTACTGCAGTTTGACAGAAGATTCACATTTATCAGATTTATATTTTCAGATGTGACATTTTCCCTCTCTTTCCTGCAGGTCTTTGTTGGAGAGGAGGACTACATTCATCAGAGGGTTGTCTGTCCACTTCCTGGTAAAGGAGGAAAGGTTCAGCTGGACCACGTTGAAGTGGGAAAAACCAAAGACGACATCGTCTGCATGTGTTAACGTTGACATGACCTTTTCAACAGTGTAATACTTAAAGGCAGCAGTCTGATATTAAAATGCTCTTCTTCTTTATCCTGAAATGATTAAACAATGATTTTGAATCTGTCTCACAGAGATACAGATATTTGGTGTTGGGTAGCAGCAAGTTGAACGCATTCCTTTTAAATACATAATAAAGAAAGCATTACAAATCTCAAAATATGTCCTCTGGTTCTTGTGTGTAGCGTTTGATTTTCTTTAGTGAAGTCTGATTTCTAAAATAGTTGTAATCTTGGCTGGAATAAATCATTATAAAATGATAAAAAGGTAACCCTTTAGTTTTTATGCATCTTAAAACAGATACAGATACTCATGTTGAGCTTTGATTACAAAAACCAGGAAACATGTTTCACTCTCAGTTACTTGATAAGTGCCTCTAAGGAGGAAAACAGGTTTCACACATTGTTCAGATATAAGAAAGTGACTGCCAACTTTCCTGAGTGAAGCCAAAGATAATGACAGAGGTGTAAACATATAACATTACTGATTAAATAGTGGTTACCTTCAGACTTCTGTCACTGACAACATCGTCCACGTTCAGCTCTGATTGCACAAACTTTACCTGGAGACAAGGAAGGACAAATAAATCAAATGTTGATGACTGACTAGTTGTTTAAGTATGGAATATATTACATTTACTATTGCCTAAAAAACAGCTTGTATAACTCCACTCCACACACAAAGATATCACCTGTGAAGATGTATCATATTCTGTTACCACACTACTACAATAGAGAAGAGAAAGAACAAATAAATACAAATAATAATAATAAAAGAACAAACTGTTGTTTGTTATTGATTATTTTTAATTTAATATAAAACTATGTATAAGAAAATACTTTTACCCTGGAGAAAGAAGTGCATTTCATACATTTATTTGTATTTTTGCCTGAACAACAATTTGGAAATGATTTCTTCAGAAATGAACCAAACTCACCTGGATCATGAGAGGGTTTTGGATTCACCTGCAGCTCCAGAGGCTTTACTTGAGCACCAAAACATTATTGTCAAAATACTTCATTACAAGTAGAAAGTCCTGCATTCAAATGTTACTTTGATAAAAATAAGAAAGGGTTATCAGCCAAATGTATTTAAAGTATAAAAGGTCAAAGTAATCATTGTGCAGAAAAATGTCCTTTATATGTATATCATTATAATCTTTTGTGACTCAAAGAGTTAGTCTACTAGTTAGATTTGTAGAGATGCATTTTGTAGCTAAAGCTGTTAAATAAATGTTGTGGAGTAAAATCACATTAGTTGTACCTGATACCCTGTTTGAAAAGTGCAATACTTAATGGTTGCATTCTCATATTAAAAGCTGTCTAAAAGTTTATGTAAAATGTAATCTGTAAAATCTTTTTTCTCCTGAGTTTCTCAGACATCCCTGTATTTCAGCCCCGTTAGAGCCTTCATGCTGATTTAATACACATCTGTTTAGGTTTGTGTCTGAATATTGCAAGGGTGTCACAGTGACAATATCTGTCCTTAGACATACAGAAACACATGCACGCACGCACGCACGCACGCACGGAAGGGAACTGCATTTATGCTACTTTCAGGAGAGGGCACTGTGCCAGGCACGAGCAGTTCAGAGCTTAGCACGTGACAGGAGAAAACAGACAGTCAGTGTAGTGTAGGGCCTGGATGACCTTGGGAAGAACACTGGACCTGGGCGAAGCCAAGAGACGTGGGCTCGCCTGTACTCCAATCAACAGCACCTCACTCAGAAATACACATATCCAATCATAATATGACACCTTTATTCTGTAATAAGTATATGAAATGTGTTTTGCCAGTTTCCGTGGCTCTGGAAGGAAGTGTCAGACAGTTAACTGCTTGGAGGGGAAACTGCTCGCAGCCTGTGGAACACGGATCTCCAGAAACCTCAGCTGAGCATTTGTATTCCTTATCACTTCCCTGGAGAAGGAAATGTATTTGATGTGAGGATGCGCAGAGAGGAAGTTAAGTGTTTTATTTGGATAACACATATTTTAAGTAAAGCAACATAAAACTCCATACTTGTGGAGTTGTTGATACTGATTATCATAATAATAATATAAAAAAACAGTGATTTATTATTGATTAATTTGAATAAATATAAAACTATGTAAACTGCATAAGTAAAGACTTTGCACCCTGGAGAAGGAAGTGCATATCATAAATGTTTTTTCAAAGCCTTCACAAGAATCTAGATAATCTAATCATAAATTAACAGAACTCAGCAGGATCATGTGAGGGTTGTGGATACACCTGCAGCTCCACCCCGCATGAGGGAGTATCCAGGTGTGGGCTCTATAAATACATGCATGCATCTGATAATGAGTCAAAACACTTGAGACCCTTGACAGTTGACTAACTTCTCTTAGTGACAATGGCAAGTCAAGATAATTCAGGATGGAGCCCTCCAGAGGACGCTACTGATTCAACTCAGAAGATTTGTGCTCCGGTGAGTTCTCAATCTACGTTCATTCTTCACAAGCTCCACAGACTACCCTCTGGTCTGGCCTAATGATACATTTTGATTTCATTTTTACACAGGTGAAGCTTCAAGTGGAGATAGAAACCAGCCAAAACTATGGGGTGTACAAAGCAGTGCAATACCGGAAACAAATGATGGGAAGAAAGAACTTCACCATAAAGGTAAGGAATATTGTGATTCATGAAAAAAAAAGCATGAAAGCCTCAGATAGCGTGTTTGTCTTTATATCATATACAAGAATAATCAATTAAACCAAATACATTTTGGGGGGGGGGGGGGGGGGGGGGGGGGGCGTACGGACAGAAACTCCCTCTGGAGGGAAGACAGGGATTTTAGCCTTTGCAGACTACATGCACTAAAACCTATAGAACACACAGGAAAGAGACACAAACCCAAACAGCAGAACAGGGCTCTTTAAATCTAATGCCAGGTCCAATTCATCGCAGGACAGTTTACTGCAGTTTGACAGAAGCTTCACATTTATCAGATTTATATTTTTATTTCCCTCTCTTTCCTGCAGGTCTCGGTTGGAGGGGAGAGCTACATTCATCTGGGTGTTTTCCAACAACTTCCTGGTGATGGAGGAAAGGTTGAGCTGGTCAACATTGAAGTGGGAAAAACCAAAGACGACCCCCTCGGCACTTTTTAACGTTGACATGACCTTTTTCAACAGTGTAATACTTAAAGGCAGCAGTCTGATATTAAAATGCTCTTCTTCTTTATCCTGAAATGATTAAACAATGATTTTGAATCTGTCACACAGAGATACAGATATTTGGTGTTGGGTAGCAGCAAGTTGAACGCATTCCTTTTAAATAAATAATAAAGAAAGCATTACAAATCTCAAAATATGTCCTCTGGTTCTTGTGTGTAGCGTTTGATTTTCTTTAGTGAAGTTTGATTTCTAAAATAGTTGTAATCTTGGCTGGAATAAATCATTATAAAATGATAACACATGTTCAGATATAAAAAAGTGACTGCCAACTTTCCTGAGTGAAGCCAAAGATAATGACAGAGGTGTAAACATATAACATCACTGATTAAATAGTGGTTACCTTCAGACTTCTGTCACTGACAACATCGTCCACATTCAGCTCTGATTGCACACACTTTACCTGGAGACAAGGAAGGACAAATAAATCAAATGTTGATGACTGACTAGTTATTCAAGTATGGAATATATTACATTTACTGTTGCCTAAAAAACAGCTTGTATAACTCCACTCCACACACAAAGATATCACCTGTGAAGATGTATCATATTCTGTTACCACACTACTACAATAGAGAGAAAGAACAAATAAATACAAATAATAATAATAAAAGAACAAACTGTTATTTGTTATTGATTATTTTAATTTAATATAAAACTATGTATAAGAAAATACTTTTACCCTGGAGAAAGAAGTGCATTTCATACATTTATTTGTATTTTTGCCTGAACAACAATTTGGAAATGATTTCTTCAGAAATGAACCAAACTCACCTGGATCATGAGAGGGTTTTGGATTCACCTGCAGCTCCAGAGGCTTTACTTGAGCACCAAAACATTATTGTCAAAATACTTCATTACAAGTAGAAAGTCCTGCATTCAAATGTTACTTTGATAAAAATAAGAAAGGGTTATCAGCCAAATGTATTTAAAGTATAAAAGGTCAAAGTAATCATTGTGCAGAAAAATGTCCTTTATATGTATATCATTATAATCTTTTGTGACTCAAAGAGTTAGTCTACTAGTTAGATTTGTAGAGATGCATTTTGTAGCTAAAGCTGTTAAATAAATGTTGTGGAGTAAAATCACATTAGTTGTACCTGATACCCTGTTTGAAAAGTGCAATACTTAATGGTTGCATTCTCATATTAAAATCTGTCTAAAAGTTTATGTAAAATGTAATCTGTAAAATCTTTTTTCTCCAGAGTTTCTCAGATATCCCTGTATTTCAGCCCCGTTAGAGCCTTCATGCTGATTTAATACACATCTGTTTAGGTTTGTGTCTGAATATTGCAAGGGTGTCACAGTGACGATATCTGTCCATACACACACACACACACACACACACACACACACACACACACACACACACACACACACACACACACACACACACACACACACACACACACACACTCTACTTTCTTCCCGACTAAAGAACAGTTTTTTCCACCAGGCTGTCAGGAGGCTGAACTCTCTATAACTCTCTGAACTCTCTATAAAGTTGACTTTGACTTCCCTGGAGAAGGAAATGCATTTGTTTTACTCATGAGTTATCAAATGGGTGGGTGAGTCAAACGGAACAAGGAAACACACCAACAGTGTCTGAAGACCTCTGTCTAATGTGTCATCTATTCACACAGAGATGAAGATAGTTAGTGAAGCAGAAAAAAAGAATCTCCATGTATTTGTTGTGGCTCTTATGTTGCATTTGCTTTTATTGACTTCTAAAAGAAAGTTGACTTTGACTTCCCTGGAGATGGAAATGCATTTCTCAAATGTTATCAAAGTGAGAGTTATCCAACAAGTGGGGAGCATACAGAGTCAAATGGAACGAGGAAACACACCAACAGTGACTGAAGACCTGCATCGCTACTTTCCTGACATGAACAATTCTCTGCAGTCTCATATAAAATGCTTTACTTATTTATTTCAAAATGATTATACACTATGCGTTACATTCATTTATAATACAGTGATGTGCAGTTGGGTGTTGATGTGAGGATGCTCAGAGAGGAGGTTAAGTGTTTTATTTGGATAACACATATTTTAAGTAATGCAACATAAAACTCCATACTTGTGGAGTTGTTGATACTGATTATCATAATAATAATATTAAAAAAACAGTGATTTATTATTGATTATTTTGAATGAATATAAAACTATGTAAACTGCATAAGTAAAGACTTTGCACCCTGGAGAAGGAAGTGCATTTCATAAATGTTTTTTCAAAGCTTTCACAAGAATTTGGATAATATTTAATCATAAATTAACAGAACTCAGCAGGATCATGTGAGGGTTGTGGATACACCTGCAGCTCCACCCCGCATGAGGGAGTATCCAGGTGTGGGCTCTCTATAAATACATGCATGCATCTGATAATGAGTCAAAACACTTGAGACCCTTGACAGTTGACTAACTTCTCTTAGTGACAATGGCAAGTCAAGATAATTCAGGATGGAGCCCTCCAGAGGACGCTACTGATTCAACTCAGAAGATTTGTGCTCCGGTGAGTTCTCAATCTACGTTCATTCTTCACAAGCTCCACAGACTACCCTCTGGTCTGGCCTAATGATACATTTTGATTTCATTTTTACACAGGTGAAGCTTCAAGTGGAGATAGAAACCAGCCAAAACTATGGGGTGTACAAAGCAGTGCAATACCGGAAACAAATGATGGGAAGAAAGAACTTCACCATAAAGGTAAGGAATATTGTGATTCATGAAAAAAAAAGCATGAAAGCCTCAGATAGCGTGTTTGTCTTTATATCATATACAAGATTAATCAATTAACCAAATACATTTTGGGGGGGGGCGTACGGACAGAAACTCCCTCTGGAGGGAAGACAGGGATTTTAGCCTTTGCAGACTACATGCACTAAAACCTATAGAACACACAGGAAAGAGACACAAACCCAAACAGCAGAACAGGGCTCTTTAAATCTAATGCCAGGTCCAATTCATTGCAGGACAGTTTACTGCAGTTTGACAGAAGCTTCACATTTATCAGATTTATATTTTCAGATGTGACATTTTCCCTCTCTTTCCTGCAGGTCTTTGTTGGAGGGGAGAGCTACATTCATCTGGGTGTTTTCCAACAACTTCCTGGTGATGGAGGAAAGGTTGAGCTGGTCAACATTGAAGTGGGAAAAACCAAAGACGACCCCCTCGGCACTTTTTAACGTTGACATGACCTTTTTCAACAGTGTAATACTTAAAGGCAGCAGTCTGATATTAAAATGCTCTTCTTCTTTATCCTGAAATGATTAAACAATGATTTTGAATCTGTCACACAGAGATACAGATATTTGGTGTTGGGTAGCAGCAAGTTGAACGCATTCCTTTTAAATAAATAATAAAGAAAGCATTACAAATCTCAAATATGTCCTCTGGTTCTTGTGTGTAGCGTTTGATTTTCTTTAGTGAAGTCTGATTTCTAAAATAGTTGTAATCTTGGCTGGAATAAATCATTATAAATGATAAAAAGGTAACCCTTTAGTTTTTACGCATCTTAAAACAGATACAGATACTCATGTTGAGCTTTGATTACAAAAACCAGGAAACATGTTTCACTCTCAGTTACTTGATAAGTGCCTCTAAGGAGGAAAACAGGTTTCACACATTGTTCAGATATAAGAAAGTGACTGCCAACTTTCCTGAGTGAAGCCAAAGATAATGACAGAGGTGTAAACATATAACATTACTGATTAAATAGTGGTTACCTTCAGACTTCTGTCACTGACAACATCGTCCACGTTCAGCTCTGATTGCACACACTTTACCTGGAGACAAGGAAGGACAAATAAATCAAATGTTGATGACTGACTAGTTGTTTAAGTATGGAATATATTACATTTACTATTGCCTAAAAAACAGCTTGTATAACTCCACTCCACACACAAAGATATCACCTGTGAAGATGTATCATATTCTGTTACCACACTACTACAATAGAGAAGAGAAAGAACAAATAAATACAAATAATAATAATAAAAGAACAAACTGTTGTTTGTTATTGATTATTTTTAATTTAATATAAAACTATGTATAAGAAAATACTTTTACCCTGGAGAAAGAAGTGCATTTCATACATTTATTTGTATTTTTGCCTGAACAACAATTTGGAAATGATTTCTTCAGAAATGAACCAAACTCACCTGGATCATGAGAGGGTTTTGGATTCACCTGCAGCTCCAGAGGCTTTACTTGAGCACCAAAACATTATTGTCAAAATACTTCATTACAAGTAGAAAGTCCTGCATTCAAATGTTACTTTGATAAAAATAAGAAAGGGTTATCAGCCAAATGTATTTAAAGTATAAAAGGTCAAAGTAATCATTGTGCAGAAAAATGTCCTTTATATGTATATCATTATAATCTTTTGTGACTCAAAGAGTTAGTCTACTAGTTAGATTTGTAGAGATGCATATTGTAGCTAAAGCTGTTAAATAAATATTGTGGAGTAAAATCACATTAGTTGTACCTGATACCCTGTTTGAAAAGTGCAATACTTAATGGTTGCATTCTCATATTAAAATCTGTCTAAAAGTTTATGTAAAATGTAATCTGTAAAATCTTTTTTCTCCTGAGTTTCTCAGACATCCCTGTATTTCAGCCCCGTTAGAGCCTTCATGCTGATTTAATACACATCTGTTTAGGTTTGTGTCTGAATATTGCAAGGGTGTCACAGTGACAATATCTGTCCTTAGACATACAGAAACACATGCACGCACGCACGCACGGAAGGGAACTGCATTTATGCTACTTTCAGGAGAGGGCACTGTGCCAGGCACGAGCAGTTCAGAGCTTAGCACGTGACAGGAGAAAACAGACAGTCAGTGTAGGGCCTGGATGACCTTGGGAAGAACACTGGACCTGGGCGAAGCCAAGAGACGTGGGCTCGCCTGTACTCCAATCAACAGCACCTCACTCAGAAATACACATATCCAATCATAATATGACACCTTTATTCTGTAATAAGTATATGAAATGTGTTTTGACAGTTTCCGTGGCTCTGGAAGGAAGTGTCAGACAGTTAACTGCTTGGAGGGGAAACTGCTCGCAGCCTGTGGAACACGGATCTCCAGAAACCTCAGCTGAGCATTTGTATTCCTTATCACTTCCCTGGAGAAGGAAATGTATTTGATGTGAGGATGCTCAGAGAGGAAGTTAAGTGTTTTATTTGGATAACACATATTTTAAGAAAAGCAACATAAAACTCCATACTTGTGGAGTTGTTGATACTGATTATCATAATAATAATATAAAAAAACAGTGATTTATTATTGATTAATTTGAATAAATATAAAACTATGTAAACTGCATAAGTAAAGACTTTGCACCCTGGAGAAGGAAGTGCATATCATAAATGTTTTTTCAAAGCCTTCACAAGAATCTAGATAATCTAATCATAAATTAACAGAACTCAGCAGGATCATGTGAGGGTTGTGGATACACCTGCAGCTCCACCCCGCATGAGGGAGTATCCAGGTGTGGGCTCTCTATAAATACATGCATGCATCTGATAATGAGTCAAAACACTTGAGACCCTTGACAGTTGACTAACTTCTCTTAGTGACAATGGCAAGTCAAGATAATTCAGGATGGAGCCCTCCAGAGGACGCTACTGATTCAACTCAGAAGATTTGTGCTCCGGTGAGTTCTCAATCTACGTTCATTCTTCACAAGCTCCACAGACTACCCTCTGGTCTGGCCTAATGATACATTTTGATTTCATTTTTACACAGGTGAAGGGTCAAGTGGAGATAGAAACCAGCCAAAACTATGGGGTGTACAAAGCAGTGCAATACCGGAAACAAATGATGGGAAGAAAGAACTTCACCATAAAGGTAAGGAATATTGTGATTCATGAAAAAAAAAGCATGAAAGCCTCAGATAGCGTGTTTGTCTTTATATCATATACAAGAATAATCAATTAACCAAATACATTTTGGGGGGGGGGGCGTACGGACAGAAACTCCCTCTGGAGGGAAGACAGGGATTTTAGCCTTTGCAGACTACATGCACTAAAACCTATAGAACATACAGGAAAGAGACACAAACCCAAACAGCAGAACAGGGCTCTTTAAATCTAATGCCAGGTCCAATTCATTGCAGGACAGTTTACTGCAGTTTGACAGAAGCTTCACATTTATCAGATTTATATTTTCAGATGTGACATTTTCCCTCTCTTTCCTGCAGGTCTTTGTTGGAGGGGAGAGCTACATTCATCTGGGTGTTTTCCAACAACTTCCTGGTGATGGAGGAAAGGTTGAGCTAGTCAACATTGAAGTGGGAAAAACCAAAGACGACCCCCTCGGCACTTTTTAACGTTGACATGACCTTTTTCAACAGTGTAATACTTAAAGGCAGCAGTCTGATATTAAAATGCTCTTCTTCTTTATCCTGAAATGATTAAACAATGATTTTGAATCTGTCACACAGAGATACAGATATTTGGTGTTGGGTAGCAGCAAGTTCAACGCATTCCTTTTAAATAAATAATAAAGAAAGCATTACAAATCTCAAAATATGTCCTCTGGTTCTTGTGTGTAGCGTTTGATTTTCTTTAGTGAAGTTTGATTTCTAAAATAGTTGTAATCTTGGCTGGAATAAATCATTATAAATGATAACACATGTTCAGATATAAAAAAGTGACTGCCAACTTTCCTGAGTGAAGCCAAAGATAATGACAGAGGTGTAAACATATAACATCACTGATTAAATAGTGGTTACCTTCAGACTTCTGTCACTGACAACATTGTCCACGTTCAGCTCTGATTGCACACACTTTACCTGGAGACAAGGAAGGACAAATAAATCAAATGTTGATGACTGACTAGTTATTTAAGTATGGAATATATTACATTTACTGTTGCCTAAAAAACAGCTTGTATAACTCCACTCCACACACAAAGATATCACCTGTGAAGATGTATCATATTCTGTTACCACACTACTACAATAGAGAAGAGAAAGAACAAATAAATACAAATAATAATAATAAAAGAACAAACTGTTATTTGTTATTGATTATTTTAATTTAATATTAAACTATGTATAAGAAAATACTTTTACCCTGGAGAAAGAAGTGCATTTTATACATTTATTTGTATTTTTGCCTGAACAACAATTTGGAAATGATTTCTTCAGAAATGAACCAAACTCACCTGGATCATGAGAGGGTTTTGGATTCACCTGCAGCTCCAGAGGCTTTACTTGAGCACCAAAACATTATTGTTAAAATACTTCATTACAAGTAGAAAGTCCTGCATTCAAATGTTACTTTGATAAAAATAAGAAAGGGTTATCAGCCAAATGTATTTAAAGTATAAAAGGTCAAAGTAATCATTGTGCAGAAAAAATGTCCTTTATATGTATATCATTATAATCTTTTGTGACTCAAAGAGTTAGTCTACTAGTTAGATTTGTAGAGATGCATTTTGTAGCTAAAGCTGTTAAATAAATGTTGTGGAGTAAAATCACATTAGTTGTACCTGATACCCTGTTTGAAAAGTGCAATACTTAATGGTTGCATTCTCATATTAAAATCTGTCTAAACGTTTATGTAAAATGTAATCTGTAAAATCTTTTTTCTCCAGAGTTTCTCGGACATCCCTGTATTTCAGCCCCGTTAGAGCCTTCATGCTGATTTAATACATCTGTTTAGGTTTGTGTCTGAATATTGCAAGGGACACACACACACACAACACACACACACACACACACACACACACACACACACACACACACACACACACACCCACACACACACACACACACACACACACACACACACACACACACACACACACACACCACACACACACACACACACACACACACACACACACACACACATCACACACACACACACACACACACACACACACACACACACACACAACACACACACACACACACACACACACACCACACACACACACACACACACACACACACACACACACACACACACACACACCACACACACACACACACACACACACACACACACACACACACACACACACACACACACACACACACACACACACACACACACACACACACACACACACACACACACACACACACACACACACACACACACACACACACACACACACACACACACACGCACACACACGCACACACACCCACACGCACACACACGCACGCACACGCACGCACACACACACACACACACGCACACGCACACGCACACGCACACGCACACGACTTTCTTCCCGACTAAAGAACAGTTTTTTTCCACCAGGCTGTCAGGAGGCTGAACTCTCTTTAAAGTTTACTTCTGAGTTATCAAATGGGTGTTGAGCGTACAGAATCAAATGGAACGAGGAAACACACCAACAGTGACTGAAGATCTCTGTCTAATGTGTAATCTTTGCACCCTGGAGAAGGAAGTGCATATCATAAATGTTTTTTCAAAGCCTTCACAAGAATCTAGATAATCTAATCATAAATTAACAGAACTCAGCAGGATCATGTGAGGGTTGTGGATACACCTGCAGCTCCACCCAGCATGAGGGAGTATCCAGGTGTGGAGGAGAAGAACCGTCGTCATCGCAGAGCATGGGTCTGCTCGGTGCTGAAGCAGGAGTCTGACCACATCCAGATGACCGCAGTAAGCTGATCGATGGAGTGGCGTGGCACCGCCTGGTGTCTGGGGAGATGCACAAGCACCACTCTCAAGAAGAAACTTGCAGACAGCGTGATGACCACTGCGACTTGCATAGTGCTGAGATAAAACACACAACAAATGATACAATCATTTTAGATGGATTAAAACACTTGATGCTGCACACAAACATATTCCCAGAGAACTCACCAGAGCTGTGTAACCAGTAGAGTCTTCTGGGTCAAAGACTTGACCCTCTCCAAGTCCCCATCCATAGCAGCAGACCAGATACCTGCATAGAAGAATGACACACAGCACTGTACTTCCAGAAAACTATTGCCAAGGTGAAAAAAAAATCATTTAATACATGTTATGTATTTTCAGAACTCTAGACTATGGTTTATGACAGGTGAATGCAAACCTCGCTCAAAATCCATTTCACTCAGCATCTGGTAAACACTGGGAGAGGAGACTGGATTAGTGCAACACGAACATTGTGATCTGTCAGTCGCCATTTTGCATAACAAAATAGTTACATGCACGTATCCAGACTCCTGCTTCAGCACCGAGCAGACCCAATGCTCTGCGATGACGACGGTTCTTCTCCTCTACATAAGGTACAGAAGTACCAGTATAAAATAAACTGCACCACCAAATAAACATCTGCTCAAAGATTGTATGTCAACCCTTTATAAAACTCCATGACTCAATCTACCATAGTAACATATTGAGGCTTTCCAACAACATTGTCTCTGACCCCAACCACATGCCTGTATTTGTTAATGCTTGAGCAGGCTGCAGAACGAAGTCATGACGAGGTGTGTCTGCTGCTGATGGAGAGCTGTGCAGCGCTCTGCAGCCAGGCGAACAACAGGCTGCTGCTTCCCTTCCAGCTGGCACCCCAGGGAGACCTGCAGGAGCTCCTGAAACCACCTCGGTGACCACAGACACACTGCGTCTGCAGACATGCCGAGAAACAATGACTTAAGCTCAAAACATGCTAGGTGAGGTCAGGATTACATTCATCTTCACCCGGAAAGATAGAGTTGTGGATGAAACAAGACCTGTAAAGACATTATCTTGGGCTGGGAAACACTGAACGACCACCATTCTTTTCCCCACCATTTTCGGACTTATTTTCTTGAAGATATTTTTTTGACATTGTTGCTTTAATTAGATAGAAGGACAGATGGACAAGAAAGGGAAAGAATACTGGGACAACATTACACATGATTCATCAATGAATATAATCTTTAGTTTCAGCCCTTTTTTTCTCCCTTATACATCAGCAAAGAGCCACTGAACAAAACTGGGAGGATACAACATTATATTGCCAGCTTCATACCATAAGTAACCTGATTTGGATTTCTAGTTTACATTGATGCAGTAATTACACCTCCTAAGCCATATAAACTTGTACAAAAAACAACACCACTGTCCTGCATCTGTTACTTCTCCACTCTTATCAGACTGTCGTCAAATTCATAATAATTCTGTATCAGACATCAGCGTTAGCATTATTGATTGTTTTCTCTGAACATATGTCAGGTTTATGTTGTATTAAAAACGGAGGCCAACATCTGGGTTATTTTGTTAAACTATGTCGGACATTTTGTTATTTGTGGCAACAGGGGGAGCTATTGCCCTAAAAAACAAATGTGTTTTTTTCCAGCCCACCATGTGAATTAGCTGGCAGCTCAAAATCTAATCGAGGGGACTGTAAGATAGAGAGAAAAGTTAGTAGATAGGACATCATGGATGGACACCCCTGATCTGCCTGTACAGTAAACATGTACTGTGTGTCACATACCACACTCTGGTATCTATTCTGTATTAATGGAGTTTCCAAGTGAACACAACAGCAGACTTTTTTTTTTAAACTGCCAATAATGCCAGGTTTTTCACACATCAGTGATATCATTAGTCATACGAGGATCATTGCACAACACAAGGCTGTGCAACATAATGCATTTATAGTCACATTTTGCTACAGATGAAAAACCAAAAAGGCATTAAACTATTTTTTTATGGCATCTTTTCTAATTTGTTATGGAGTGTAGAAGAGTCCTGCTCTGTCTACATATTTTTGCTCCTGGCTTGTTGCTAGCAAAATGTCTCAGCTGCTATTACTGTAACTAGTTTTAAGTCTCTTTGTAAAAGCAAATATTTTGAACCCATTGCCACTGGTGTAAATCTTTTACACTTTTAATCTCTGAGAGCAGATGTTGACGGTTGATTTTTTTTTTGTTAGTGTGGGGGAAACTTCTGAAGCAATAGGAGTCAGGACTCAGAGAGACACGAGGAGAGCTGGAGCTTTGATGGCAAACACTGATGGTTTATTTGGAGCTTTGGCCGGAGAATTCACAAGACATGTCAAAGGGCCACGAGTTGACCACACGGTTGAGATGCCACAATCAATTCTGAAGAACTCTTCTGTAGTTCAAGGTTTTAACTAGTTCAGAGTGTAATAATCAACATTCTTTATCAGCGAGACTAAACAAATATGGACCCTGAATCTAACTAGAGCTGTCGTCCATAGAAAATAATGTGCGCCAGGAAACCTACGTTCCTAAAAAGAAGGGCTTCTAGATGTCCTTGAACAATCAACTATCTCATGTCAGCTTGTGCTCGGTCATAAGCTGGCAACAACAATGCGCCCAAGCTGCCCTTCCTTAAGAGAGATAGCAGCAATACCCAAGGCCGTAGACCTATGCCACGGGAAAGGAGCCAGTGAAAAGAGGAAAATTATGAACTGTGTCAAAGGTTGAATACCTAAGCAAATTATTCCCGAACATTTCCTCTCTTTTTATCAATTTTTTTCCGGCTTGGCGTTCTGGGACCCCGGCCTGTAAGACAGAGTGAAGTTAAAACG